ACGCACACGCACACGCACACGCACACGCACACGCACAAGCACACGCACACGCACAAGCACACGCACACGCACACGCACACGCACACGCACACGCACACGCACACGCACACGCACACGCACACGCACACGCACACGCACACGCACACGCACACGCACACGCACACGCACACGCACACGCACACGCACACGCACACGCACACGCGTGTGCGCACACGCGCACACGCACACGCGCACACGCGCACACGCGCACACGCGCACACGCGCACACGCGCACACGCGCACACGCGCACACGCGCACACGCGCACACGCGCACGCGCACACGCGCACACGCGCACATGCGCACACACATGCACACGCGCACACACATGCACACGCGCACACACGCACACACGCACACACGCGCACACGCACACACGCACACACGCACACACGCACACGCACAGCGCACAGCACACAGCACACAGCACACAGCACACAGCACACAGCACACGCACACGCACACGCACACGCACACGCACACGCACACGCACACGCGCACGCCCACGCACACGCACACGCACACGCACACGCGCACGCGCACGCGCACGCGCACGCGCACGCGCACGCGCACGCGCACGCGCCCGCACACGCGCACGCACACGCACACGCAAACGCGCACGCGCACGCGCACGCACACGCACACACACACAGAGAGACACACAGAGAGACACAGAGAGACACATAGAGAGACACAGAGAGAGACACAGAGAGACACACAGAGAGACACACAGAGACAGACAGAGACACAGAGACAGACACACAGAGAGAGACACAGAGACACACAGAGACACACAGAGACACACAGAGACACACAGAGACACACAGAGACACACAGAGACACACAGAGACACACAGAGACACACAGAGACACACAGAGACACACAGAGACACACAGAGAGACACACAGAGACACACAGAGACACACAGAGACACACAGAGACACACAGAGACACACAGAGACACACAGAGACACACAGAGACACACAGAGACACACAGAGACACACAGAGACACACAGAGACACACAGAGACACACAGAGACACACAGAGACACACAGAGCCACACAGAGACACACAGAGACACACAGAGACACACAGAGACACACAGAGACACACAGACACACAGAGACACACAGAACACACAGAGACACACAGAGACACACAGAGACACACAGAGACACACAGAGACACACAGAGACACACAGAGACACACAGAGACACACAGAGACACACAGAGACACACAGAGACACACAGAGACACACAGAGACACACAGAGACACACAGAGACACACAGAGACACACAGAGACACACAGAGACACACAGAGACACACAGAGACACACAGAGACACACAGAGACACACAGAGACACACAGAGACACACAGAGACACACAGAGACACACAGAGACACACAGAGACACACAGAGACACACAGAGACACACAGAGACACACAGAGACACACAGAGACACACAGAGACACACAGAGACACACAGAGACACACAGAGACACACAGAGACACACAGAGACACACAGAGACACACAGAGACACACAGAGACACACAGAGACACACAGAGACACACAGAGACACACAGAGACACACAGAGACACACAGAGACACACAGACGCACACAGACGCACACAGACGCACACAGAGACATACAGACGCACACAGACGCACACAGAGACATACAGACGCACACAGACGCAAACACGCACAAACGCACACACGCACACACGCACACACGCACACACACGCACACGCACACGCACTCGCACACGCACACGCACACGCACACGCACACGCCACACGCCGCACGCACACGCACACACACGCACGCACGCACAAAAAAGCTACACACTACACACTACGCACTACGCACTACCCTCTACACACTACACACTACACACTGCACACTTGACACTACACACTACACACTACACACTACACACTACACACTACAGACTACACACTACACCCTACACACTACGCACTACACGCCACACACACACACACGCCACACACACACACACCCACAGCCAAAGCCACAGCCACACCTGCAGCCCACACGCACACATGCACAGTACCCGCGCACGCTCGCAAGCGCGCGCACACGAACACGAACACGAACACGAACACGAACACGAACACGAACACGAGCACGAGCACGAGCACGAGCACGAGCACGAGCACCAACACGAGCACGGGCACGAGCGCGAGCACGAGCACGAGCGCGAGCACGAGCACGAGCACGAGCACGAGCACGAGCACGAGCACGAGCACGAGCGCGAGCACGAGCGCGAGCGCGAGCACGAGCACGAGCACGAGCACGAGCACGAGCACGAGCACGAGCACGAGCACGAGCACGAGCACGAGCACGAGCACGAGCGCGAGCGCGAGCACGAGCACGAGCACGAGCACGAACACGAACACGAACACGAACACGAACACGAGCACGAGCACGAGCACGAGCACGAGCACGAGCACGAGCACGAGCACGAGCACGACCACGAGCACGAGCGCGAGCGCGAGCGCGAGCACGAGCACGAGCACGAGCACGAGCACGAGCACGACGAGCACGAGCACGAACACGAACCCGAACACGAACACGAGCACGAGCACGAACACGAGCACGAACACGAGCACGAGCACGAGCACGAGCACGAGCGCGACGAGCACGAGCACGAACACGAACCCGAACACGAACACGAGCACGAGCACGAACACGAGCACGAACACGAGCACGAGCATGAGCACGAGCACGAGCACGAGCACGAGCACGAGCACGAGCACGAGCACGAGCACGAACACGAGCACGAACACGAACACGAACACGAACACGAACACGAACTCGAACACGAACACGAGCACGAGCACGAACACGAACACGAACACGAACACGAACACGAACATGAGCACGAACACGAACACGAACACGTGCACACCGCGCGCTTACGCGCGCACGCACTTACACGCAAACGCGCGCACGCCCTCTCGCAGACACACACGCGCACACCAGCGCGCACGCGCACACCCACGCACCTGCACCCGCGCACACAACCACCAACCCACACACACACACACACACAAACATACATACATCGGGCAGGTGCAGGCGCAGGCGCACGCTCGCACTTGCACACGCACGTGCTCGCGCACGCGCACGTTCAGAAGCGCACGCACCCATGCACTCGCGCGCGTGCCCTTGCGCACCCACGTGCCTGTGCAAGAGTGAATGCCAGGTTGCACGCCCAAACCCGCACCAAGGCCCGCAGGGAGCCACCTGCACTTCCAAGTATGCAGGTGCATGCGCACGCGCACATGCATAGGCACGCACACAGAAACCCACACTTAAAATGCGCACAAATTTATTATTTGCAAGCCTCTTTTGCAGTTCGTGCAAGTGACCAGGAGTTTGACGAATCCATAGCGCTCGAGGCTGTGGTCAATCTTGGCATAGCTTGATTGCCTTCCAACTGTAGCACGCGCAGCGCTTGCCTGAAACTGCCGTATAGCTTGCTCTTTGGCTCAAAGAAGAATCTCGACACGTTTACGCTTGAGCCATCAAGGCAGTGGCGTTCTTAGCCGGGATGTTAGACACTGAGTTCTATGACGCGTTTTAGTGCTCACGCGCAACCGAGTGAACTTCGGACTCAAGCTTTTCTGGCAGTAATTGTGACAAGATGAATCCATTGACACTAATTGACGAAAATTCTGGCTCCGCAGGGTGACCGAACTGGCCCTGGACTATAAGCTGGATTCTCGCCGGTCGTGGAGCAGCAAAAGAGTTTGAATTCCATGTAAACCATCCTGTTCGCGGCAAAACTAGCATGCAGTGGGCATCTCTTATTTACACCCACGTATTTTCCGAGCCATCGTAGTGTACTTGGCCGGATGTGTTGCTGATTCTTCGAGGTGTCTGGCGAAGATGATCAAGGGCTTCGCGTTCAAAATCCTGTCGCCCCGGGATATCACTGGAGTTACCTTGCTGCAACTCAGCTGGGTACCAGGGGTATGCAATGATTGCAGCTTGAGGTTCTGAACATGATCGGCGTGCACCCAGCGGTCGTGCCGGAAAACATCGAGAGGACGGGACAAGTGAAGAGTCAAGAGATGTTTGTCCTTGGTCACCGTAATGTTTTGTGTGAGTACGATGGGGAACACTGGTACCAGCACTTAATGGTTGGCAGGCCCGCTGCCGACAACGCGATGTCGTTTTTCAATGCCCTCGCCGAGTTTGCCTATGACATGGACTGACACTGTGCTCAGGGTGCAGACTGGTCTTAGAGATTGTGTGTTCCTTTGCGCCTCTCTATGAGGCGCTTTCCCTCATTTTTCCCGTAGGTTTTTCATGCTGACACATTTTGTGAGTTTTCAACTACGTTTTACTTTGCAATTGCAATTGCAGGGTTGGCTTTGTGTTGCAGGACTCGCAACAGATGAAGGCACAAATGCCGGGAGGGATACAGTATCCTGAGATCTACGACGAGGCCAGGCACCCGACTTCTCCTTCGGCACTGGAGTAGTATATATTTCTCTTGGGTGTGGCTATGTGGCCCCCAAATTGGATGGTTTCCCTCTGCTTTCTGTTGAAGAAACCCCAAAGAAGGAACCCATCAAGAAAAGAGGACGCCCACTTGCCGATGTTTGGAGGCCATGGACGTGCTGACGGTCTTTAAGCTCTCAAGGCCATGGTCCTCTTGGAGTGTGCTTCATATGATACATGGGTATGGATTAAATTTATAGCGCCAGGATATGGACAGATTGTAGTCCATGTCTCCGTTTTGCAGGGTTCCATTTTGGGTACCCATTGTTGACCCACAGCCACATTCCTTCAAGAGGCAGTTGGCGATGATCAACTTGGTGGATGACTTCAACTTCAAGGACAAGGGAGCTTCTAATATACTTTGTTGCATTTTGCTTGGATGTTGGGACTTTAGTAGCTTTTTGCCGACTAACGGGCGTTTCCGTATTAAACCACCAAAACTTATTCACTTTTAGCAGGGGAGCAGAAAGCAAGCGAGTGTAGACACCTACAACTGACCGTGTTTCAGCAGTTTGAAAGATTTCTGGCGCAGCTGGGACCTTGCTCCAGCTGCGCGAGGACTTCTGGGAGCCCATCCCGAAGCGATTCCGGGCGTTGCTCAGAGACTCGCCTGGAAGCTTCGGAGTTTGAACTGGGCTTTTGGTGGATGATCATGCTATAAGTTGGTCATGTTTGTCAAATAATATCTACAGCTCTATCTAAATATAATCTAATCAACACTTATTTTATCTTATCCTATTTTATCATACTTTATCGTATTTTATCCTATTTTGTCCTATCTTATCCTACTGTGGCTGGATGAAATCCTGCACCACTTTGAAACCATGGGAATCCAGTATTTGTTGGTGTTTGCAGGGGAATCATCATTCCAGGTTGCTTGTGTGGTGCAGGATTTCGTCATCATATCCTATTTTATCCCTTCTAATCCTATCTTGTGCTATCTTATCGTATCTTGTCCTATCTTATCCTATCTTATCCTGTTTTATCCTATCTCATCCTATCTAATCCTGTCTTATTCAATCCAATCCAATCCAATCCAATCCAATCCTGTCCTATCCCATCCTACTATCCATCTATCCATCTATCTATCCATCCATCCATGCATCCATCTATCTATCTATCTGTCTGTCTGTTTGTCTGTCTGTCTGTCTGTCTGTTTGTTTATCTATGTATTTATCTATCTATCTATCTATCTATCTATCTATCTATGTACCTATCTATCTATCTATCTATCTATCTATCTATCTATCTATGTACCTATCTATCTATCTATCTATCTATCTGTCTATCTATCTATCTATGTACCTATCTATCTATCTATCTATCTATCTATCTATCTATCTATCTATCTATCTATCTATCTATCTATCTATCTATCTATCTATCTATCTATCTATCTATCTATCTAATCTATCTATCTACCTATCTATCTATCTATCTATCTATCTATCTATCTATCTATCTATCTATCTATCTATCTATCTATCTATCTATCTATCTATCTATCTATCTATCTATCTATCTATCTATCTATCTATCTATCTATCTATCTATCTATCTATCCATCCATCCATCCATCCATCTATCACGAGATAAGGCATGGATGCTGATTTCCTACGCAAACATTTGGGTGTGAGCTCAGCTGCACAGGAATTTGATATCAGAATGGAAGTCATTTGTGCGGAGGCAGTCCTGCTCAGGTCACAGGCTTGCGCGGGTCGGGGGCAAATGTAGTATCCCAGTAGCAATTTTCCACGGCCAGTTTGGAATCCTCGCGTTCGGTGTTGAAAGCACATTGCGCTCGTCACTTTTTTCGACTGCGTTTGGCAAGCCACATGTTTTGCGTAGCCTCTTCACATGCTCCATTGTGGATGCATTTTAGGCTAGCCACGCTGCTGGGAAACAGGCGGCACAGATTCCGGAACGCAATTGGACTATTCTATTGGCTCGCTTAGGCAGCTTGGGTAGATGTGCGCAAGCTACATTGGCGTCATTATCGTTGTGAGAAACCAGGGTTCAACAGAGCAGATTGGGGACTCAAGGGTATGTGATCACATTCTTCACCTGGCTGATGCTAACGCTGCGGGCTGCCCGCCTGGGCCAAGCTCAAAAGAACCTTCACTGCCAGGGCGTGGTGGGCTGCAGCGCAAAGTGATTGCCTGCAACTGCAGCTCGAGCGGGGGCCGGCCAACAAGGTGGAAGCTGGCCTGGCAGTCTGCGTGGGTCTGTGGGCAAGAGGCAGAGATTTCTGAGGGCCAAGCCGCAGACGAGCGTGCTTGGGCGTGGAACGAGGAGGTGGGGACTCGCTTCAGGGCAGCTGGGCATGGGTTTTCAGACGGCCCAAGTCTGGGCTTCGGGGATTGGGCGCGCGATCCCAATGATCGAAGTGGGGATCTGACCGCTTCCCGGCCATGAGCGCCTGGGGTTCGAGCGGGTCTGATGAAACTTGAGCTGCGCACCACGCCTGTGGCCCAATCCCTTCGTGTTGCAACTTCCCCTCGCAGCATCGATTCATCAAGGGCCCCGTGAAGCCTCGCAGACCTTGCCCTTGTAGGTAGAGCGGAAAACGCAATCCCACGAGCCACACCTCGAAGGAATCTGAGTGACATACAGCTGCTATGAGCCCCAGCCAAGGCGGCATGATCAATTTCTGCCGCTACAAGGAGGCTGGCAGTCGCGTCTCAAGGAATTAGCGTTGATCCCCGCCCTGGCACCTTTTTCTGGTGTGAGCAGACCGCCTGGCTAGAAAAACGGCTCCCAGTTGTAAGCACAACATGAGACACAATCAAAACCCAGGTAGATGAAGGTTAGTCAGGGACAGCCCCAGCCAGAAACAGCTGCGGCCGCCTTTGTATTTCCTCACGCTCATGGCGGGAGGGTGTGTTGACACGATTCGGGTTTCAGGCCAAAGTCATCGTCATCACTGGCATGAAGGAGGACTTGATTTAGAGTGGCTGATGGTTTGGTGAGAATAGATTCCAGAGCCATCACCCTCCTTCCAAGAATCACACAAGTGGGGCGCTTCCCCAGAAGGCAGTCCTACCCTTCTCAAACAGCATGTGGCCATGGGTCAACATCCAAATTGTACCCCCAGTGAACATCAACCAATCCCCACTAAAAATAGGTTCTAAAAAATGAGTGGTGCAACGCGGTGAATTCACCTACCAACCAAAATGGGATCCCAAAATTGTTTGTGACAACCACAGCCATGTTGGAACCTGAAGCTTCACAGGACGTTCAGGTGTTGGACTCAGCCCGCTTGGAGCTGGTGGAGAAGCTGAACCAGGCACTGGCTAGAAATTGGGTGTGCCTTTCTTGTGGGGGGGGGGGGGAACCTCTTTTGGCTTTTCGGGGTTAGCCCATTTCGTGGAGGTTCCCCCTGGTTTTAGACCCGAAAGTTGCGAACCCTTTTTGGAGTTCTACAACCCATTTTGTGGAGGTTCCGTTGGTTTTAGACCTGACAGAAACTTGATGATTGCGTCAAATAATTGTTGTTTTTGGCTGTATGGGGCTAGCCCATTTCGCGGAGGTTTGCCTGGGTTTAGACCCGAAAGTTGCAGGTGGATTCGGAGCTGACTGCAGCCCAAGAGCGCCACAACGCTGAGCTGCAAGACACCTGGTCGGCAGAGAACGAGGCCCGGGACACGGAGACGCTGAGCTTGAATCCTCCCGACCTCTTCTTGTTCTTCTTGCTGCTTGTCGGTAGGAAATGAGGAAACTGACCCCATGAACTATTTGTGAGGGACTGACCCTATTATCCCTCGTGGCTTCCTTGAAGGGGATTTGTAGAATCATTCCCAAAACTTGGTTTTCTGAGCACCAGCATGGCATGCAAGGTGGCAGAGGCACGCGCCACGATTGACAAGCTCACCAGACAGCGTTCTTCGGCGGAACGCGCGGGCTGCTCAGCATGGAAGCTCTGCCTTGGGGCTCAATCACCGATCAGCCCAGATATCGAAAAGTGAGCTGCAACTGCAGGCCACGTGTCACGTAAGCAGCAAGGCAGAAGAACAGGTTCCATGGAGCACCATCCTCGCCTCCCCCAGGGTCATGGGCAAGTCAGCTCAGCACTATGCGCATCCAGCACAAACAATCCTTGCATGGATTTTATGTTGTGACTCCCGCAGCAGTTGCATAGTCGCAAACCAACAACCGTAGAGTGTAGCCTGGCACTCAGGTGGTGGAGGATGCAGAGAAAAAGCGCACAGGCGTGAAGGCACAGCTGGCTGATTCTGCTCTCCGAGACAGCTGCACCAGGGATGGTTTCTTCCCCACATGACTGGCTCATGAACCACCGACCACTGCGAAATGGATGCAGGGATTGAAACCCACATGACTGGCATGAACCAAATGGATGTTCAAAGACCTAGGCAAGCCGCAGGGTTTTCGTGTTGGTTTCCATGCAAGCTGCCATTGTTCTAGGGGGTGATTCCCCATTCTTTTCAACCATCGTTCTTTTCAAACAAAAAAAACAAACTTTCCAGCCGACCTGACCCCAAAGTCACAGCCGGGAGCCACAGCCGACCTGACCCCAAAGTGGTTGCAGGAACGCGTGCGGCAAGGAGAGCAGCGCATCGAGCAGCTGCGCGAGCAGGCCTTTTTTTTCCGACTCGGTTCGGCGGGTGGTTGAGGAAGATTCAAGACCTTGGAAAGACATGTCGATTTGATGATTCAATGTGTATTGATGGGATGGACTTGTTCTTATTGACCTCGAAGCACATGCCGAGCGCACTTTTCCGCATGCCTCTTGAAATGAGCTGGTGTTTGAGCCTGGGTCAAGTTTGCGAATGCCGCTTGCTTGAAACATGACAGCCTGCTCAAAGTACACAAGGCGATACTGTTTGTGGGTGTGACGGAAGAGCTGTTTTGAGCCTTGGCAGGTCATTTCTCTGCAGGGGCAGATTGCTGAAAGTCCTGAAGGACTCGAGAAGGCGAGGGCAATACGGGGCTTTGGCGTTCGAGCTGCCAGCTTGTCAGGAGATCGAAGAGCTGAAAGGGGGAGTTCGACAGCTCAAGGCATTCACACGGCATGTCACACCGAATGTGAGCAATAGGCAGTGTTTGGGGTTAGCTGCTTATTGCGAATCGAACAGCATGTCGTGGACGCGGAAGGTCAATTCGATGGTGCACGTCAAGATCCCACCTTTTCCTTCTTTTGGGACAATTTGGCGATGCCTACGACGCCTTTAGAAGTGTAGCAAATTGGTTAAGCCTATGAACGGTGAGTCTTGTACTGATTATTTGGGCAGGCTGTCTTGGAGGACAAGGCCAACCAGCGACGATCTCACTCGCAGAGGGACCAAACCTTTGCCAGGCTCGTATGCTTAGTCTTCCCATTGTCTTGCTTCGCATTGCTTGGTCCTGATATTCGATTTGCACTCAGCACTTCCCAGGTTGATCAAGCACATGGAGGGATACAAGGACGAGTTTCTTGGTCTTGGAATGCTTTACGCAGTCATTGAAAAGGGTTGCGTGGTGGTATCTGAGGCTTACGCGTTCTTGGCCTCAGCATGTGCCCAGACACGCGGTCATGCCTTTGCATGTACTTCAGGCGAATTGGCGGTTTGGTTCGGCAAAGAAATCATCCCTTCCAAGCCAATAAGCACCAAGCGAGGGAAAGCTGAGCACGTAAGGTGTGGGCAATGTAGCCGCAAGCGCCGAAGCTGCAAAGCAGCGCTCAGTGTCTTCGCGGGAAGAGCTCAAGCAGCTCCGACAATCGCTGGAGGCAGGGTTTTTTGGTGTCGTCCTTTTGCCTCTAAGGGTACGCCTTTTTCACAGCACCCTGTTTGACGTAGTTTGTAAAACCAAAGACAGTTGGGGTGTCGCCTGTCAACCCGAGTTGAGCTTCTCTTACAATTTTCTGAACATTCAGCCAGGCCGCTAGGCAGGACGGAGCCGAGCTGGATCAGTCCAGGACTCGTTATCTGCGGACCGCCCGTCAAAAGCTTCGGCATGAGGTCCTTGAAGACCATCGTGGCAGATACCGAGAGGGCGAAGCAGGCTGGGCCATCGTGCCACCCGGCTGCGGTCGCTTGTGCCGATGACACATCGGCAGGTTCACAGCGAGAGAATGGAGCAGCTCGAGGCAGGAGTTTGGCAGATTGCAAGCTGCTATCTTTAAGGGACAGCACAAAGAACCAACGTGCCAGCATGTGAAACCACTGAGGTGTGGGGAGATGTTGTATCATTGTTTGATGAAGCTCAATGCATTTATTGATTGATTGAGCTTGGGGCCTCCACGTTGTTCAGTGTGGACTCCCCGTGAATCAGGCAGTTCTCATTTGCTTGAACTTATGGCGAAAGATCTTACGTGAGGGCTCCATTGATCCTGGCTAAGGAAGCAACAAATGAAGTCTTGGCCAGAGCCTGTCTCAAGTGGAAGACCCTGACCTCGGAATGGTTGGCTTTTGGTTTCCGCGCCAGCTTGCTCCTTCACAACGCCTGTTGTTCTTGTGTCCAGCCGACCTCGTGCAGAGCGGCACACATTGAGTGGCACTGAGTGCCACTCGCTCCTGCCAGTGCCTGGAGGGTGATATTTGAGGTTTGGTCAAGATACAGCAGTCTATGGGCCACTTGAGAGGGCCATGGAGTCTCTAGAATTGGCTGTGGGTCAAAAATAAGCATCCAAAATGGAACCCTGGCAAATGGAACCAAAGACTAAACCTGCGGTCCCCTGGTGATTTGATTTTGAGCCATACCTGATTCAACCACGAAAACCAGGGGGACGCTTCAATTTTCCCATACCCTTCAGCCAGGAGCGAAGACAGCAAGCGCTGCAGCAGCACCAAGAGCTGCAGGCGAAGCGTACAGAGGCCGGGCTCCGCCAAGCTGTTTTTCTTGTCTTTCTCCTCTTTCACCCCTAGAATTACATATATATATATATTATATTTACATATATATATATATATATTATATATATATATATATATATCTGCATATCTCTCTATATGAATATTTGTATATACATGATCAACTGTATATATATATATATATATATATATACACGTATGATCCTCCCCCTCCTCCTCTTGCGGCCCGCAGACCTGGAGCACAAATATGGCATAGGTTGCATTGCGACACTTGCAATGGTCAAGCATCACCTGTAGTCAAGGGATTGACATTGGGTACACTCAGCAAGTTGCAACTACTGGCGGGAAACAATTTGGGTGATTAATCCCACTGCAACTACTGCAACCCCAACCAAGTTACTCACCCAAATCCAATTGGAGCAGAACAAATATTGATTGACCACGGCAGTGACTAAGTGTTTGCGGATGCGGATGCAGGAGCAACGCCAGCTGCATCAGCTTCAATCCCAGCGCTTGGAGTTGGAAGCAGAGGCGGTCGAATGGATGCAAAAGCTACCGGACATGGATTTAGAAGCAAGGGCGGTTTGTAAACAAGAAAAAAGAAAACATACATTCATTTGTCCCTTGCAATTCTCGTGAGTGTTTCTCGTCGATTCGTGATGCAGGTCGCTGCCGCCAGACGGGCCCATGAAGTTGAGATGGGCGAGCTGCGGGCCATTTGGAAGGCGCTGGGTATGGCCATTTTGCAGCCGGCCGGGCCGGCTCAGGAAACAGGCAAGTTTCGGCTATGGGCCAACACATCAGAGGTTTTGATGTTCATTTCAAGGGAAATGGACTCTGAGATGGTTTTTGTGCGGAGGAGAAGCCTTTCAGGAAATTAAACGTGAGAAGTCTGAAAGGCGAGACATGCCAGCAAGGATAGACATCAAGACAACAAATGCAGGCAGAGAGAGGGGCATAACCAAAGCATGTGGACTTGGAAGATGCGAGGTTGGCCCACAAAAGTCAGCATGCCAAAAGAAGTTTCAGGAACCATATTCCAGCGGTCAGTGGAGCTGCGCAGCAGCCAAGTTGGCACACTTAGCTCGACTGCATGCCGAGCTCGTATTGATCGTAGAGAGGACATGTGCTTGGGGTGTTGCGCTTTACGTGGCCATAAGCAGACAGAACACGATGACATCGCAAAGCTCTCCTTTCCTCGGATAGCTCTGCAATTCCAGCTTTGCGACGTCATCGTTTTTAGTTTGCTTGTAGCTGCGTAAGCTGCCCCGTCAGTATACGCCACTTGAACGCCCACGTCCGCGCAGCAAAGGTACAACGAAAAAATACTCTGGCAATAGGTAAATGTTGGCAGGGAGTATGCCATCGCGTCAGTTTTTGTTCTCCAACAAAGGAGTGGAATCCCGCTTCATAGCAGCATTCTAAGCATTTCGGAGACGTAAGATGAGCCACATCTTAAGTTTAGGTTGCCGGCATCAAGAGGCAACGCTGGCTCAGTCGGCTGAGGCATTGCATCCCTGGTTTCTGTGAGCCAGAGGTATTGCCTTCCTTGAACCTCCTTATGAGGGGCTTGTGTCTGCCTTGAGCTTCGGAAAGCGCAGCATCCGTTTTTGAGGAACAGAATGAGCGCACGTTTCATGCTCTTGTACGTCTGATTTACTAGCCATCCTTTTGGTAACCACAAATAATGGATCACGTGTTGCGCAAGGCCGTCTTGGACAAAGCAGAGTCGTACAACTTGTCCTTGGAGGCATTGTTCCATGAACACGGCCGTCAGTCTGCACTAATTGATTGGCAGCGCCATGGACATGGGGAGTTCGGACCGTGTAGTATGCGTCTTGAACACCCAGGCTACAGCAGCTACGGGGACTGCCCAGCTGCGTGACACTTGAGCGCGCATGAGAGGGCTTGCGAGGTGTGTAGTTTTTTAGTTGGCACAGGCATGCGAATGCGGTGACGTGATCGGAATGTTAAAGCCTGGTACGCTTCAAGCATGTCTTGGCCAAGAGTTGATGTGATTGTACACCATATTTTCTGCATGCGGCTTTCAGGGCCCCAATTCGCTTGTGCAGTTGCAAGACTCAGCCAAAGCAGATCAAGAGCCGTTTCAGCGTGCGGAATCACCTTGAGCATTGGGAGTGCTGTATCGGGGTTGGTGAGGCGCCAAAACGTATCTACGGGATCCAGTGGCATATTAAAGCTTAGGGGCGTTACTGCATCCATCAATTTCTTGAGGAACAGGGGTTCATTCCATGTGTCAACAGGGTGCCGGACAGCGCAGGTCATCGAGAAAGGCTCTGCTGTGCATTGTGTCTCTGCGTACGAAGGTGATGCACGGCTCTCAGATCACTACTCGCCTGTTTGGACTGCAAAGACTTGACCCGCGCTTCGATCAGATTCTGATCCTGGGCAGCGACGGAGTGCGGGCCCAGCTTGTTCGAACAGCTGCAGACTCTACATGTTGAGTGTGTGAGAGGCTAAGTCTGGCTGCGCAATTCAAGCGAGGTGTTTGACAACTTATTTCTGGACGAGATTGTGGAGGCCTGGCATGGCCATCCTACAGTGGATGGACGAAATCCTGCACCACTTGGAAACCATGGGAAACCATTGTTGGTTGGTATTTACAGGGGAATCATCATTCCAGGGTTTGTCAGGTGGTGCGAAATGGATTTCGTCCACAGAAGGTTTGTGGTCAGAAGGTTGCGCAGTCTGTGCCTCCAGATTTGCAACGAGATCTTGCCTGCCCCGACGGCCAATCACTTCTCTCCGATGCCGGCGCAATACCTGAGCCAGGCGGCCAGATGTCCCGCACAGAAGGCACCAGGTTCAGAGGTTCAGCGGTCAGCAAAACACGCCACTCAAATTGCAAGAGAGGACAAGGAAACCGATTGAGCGCCAGATTCAAGTGCGAGCCGACACAGCTTGCAAAGACAAGGTTGAACTGGATACACCCGAACATAATCTAAATATATGTATGGCATCGTATCAGTATGAGATGGCAGCTTGAAGCTTGGATGTTTGCTGGCAGGCTGCGCAGCGAATTGTGAAGGAGTCCCACGCAAAATCCGATTGCGTGAATGGACAATTCCTGGACACTCCAATTGGCAAAGGCAGCGGCCTAATGCACATCAGCTCACACACACACACACACACGCACGCACATGGGTGTGTCGTTTATTGAGGGTACAATCTTTCGTTCAATGGTTTTTAAAGGGAACCCAACAGGAAACCCATCTCTTTGCCCGTGCCCCCAAAAACAACACACACACACATAGATGCACATGTGGTTGGCAGAATTCAAAGTGTTCACTGCCGATGGCAGTCCCCGGTTCAGGCGGCAAGGTGGATGACACTTCCGTCGTCGTGGGAGAGATCATTGAGTGGACGGAAGCACATACACAGATTTGGTCCGAGGCCAGCCCAGCTATTTTCAATGTTCTTTCTGCTTTTTATTGTATCCCAGCTATATTTCCTTTTTTTCTTCTTCCCCATTTTTTAAGCTTCTTTTTATAATGCCAGCAGGCTTGCGTTGATGATAGCCGCAGGTCCGCAGAAACAGAAGATGGAAGGACGTGATCTCCTGTGGCGGAATGCAGTGCTCGCCTCAGGATGAAGACGCTTTGACAGGATCCACAAATGCCAAGGTGTGGAGTAGCCCGACACCCATGCTCCTGCGAGGCCACTTTGCCCAAAAGCGGGGCGGTGTCTTGAACCACTCTCGAAAATCCTCGCTGTAGCTTCAGCAGGCATAGTCCAATAACAAGAAGGCAGCAGTAGTGCACCTGTGCCTATACTTCGAGCGTTTTCGAGCACGGGGACTGAACTTTTGTGAGAATAGCGGTCTGCTGTTCACCCAATCAGATTCAAAGTTAGAGCTTGAAAGATTGTTCCACCACTTTGATTGCTCAGCCGCGCAAGGCTTAGATGTTCAAACAGCAAATGCCGTGATGGCTTTCACATTTCTTCAGCCAAATACAAGAACAACGCAACAAAAGGCCTGCGATTCTTCGCGTGCTCAATGTGCAGGGAGATGACGATGAAAAGAGTCGATTTCGGGGTCGAAGTGGCTGGCTGAGTGCACGGGGTAGGGACATCACAGCATTCCGAATGGCCGTGGCACTCAAGGTGAAGATGCCAGTGAGTGGGGTTCTCGGTATGCGACAATATGGGTGGCTCAGAATCAAAGAACTGGGGGCCCACAGCCTCCAGTGGAGTTTCCCATTTATCCATGGTTTCAGTTGGACCCCGATTTTTTGAGCAGCCATATTTGCGCTGTGCATGTTGATTTCTGATGTGCAGACGACCAAGGGATTCCTCAGATGAAGAAGAAGGAGTTTGTTCCATCGCTTGACAGGCTGGCCCAGCCTTGTGCTTGAAGCTTGAAGCATTCACGTTGAACAGAGCCGTGCTGCTTGCGCCGCAATGTCCATCCCAAGTAGATACGCTTTGTAAGACGTTTACCGACAAGTCAGTCAGTCGGACGCGTGTTGCGGATGTATTTAAGCAGAGTTTTGCTTGGCTCATGCAAGTGCTTCGCACATGTTGAAGGCAAAGCTTCGTGAGTCTTTGCTTGATGGCCAGGCGAACTACAGTTCTTTGGGGGGGGGGGCCTTCAAGCTGAAAGCCTGCTGAGAAGGTTGGCTTGGATGTGTAGGATTGTCTCGCATCAAAAAAGCATGTGAACTCTCTGAACTCCAATTAAGAATTCACCATGAGCGTTAGGGCTGCAGGGCCGAGTGCGCGCGTGCAGAAAGAGAGTGGCATCAATGCCTTGGTGCCAAGTATTTCGGGCCTGTCGAAGTGGCATTGAAGCATTGGCAGGATTGACAAAGCTGACAATCTATTTGAGTGACAAACATAGCACACACACACACGCGGAGCGAGAGTAGACATGGATTTCATTGTTCCTTTGTTATTGCTTTGGCTTTGCAGGAGGGCCATGCTTGGCGTTGACAGATGTGCTTAGGTTTCCGATCCGTTGCCCCGAGTGGTTCCAAGCCTCAAGCCTGCGAGTCAGACTGCTAGACCCTCCTGGGCCCTCTGCAGCAGACGCCGCCTGGCAGCATCACTTTCGGCGGGTTTTTGGTGCGGCAGCGGAGTTTTGGGCCGAGGCGCTCCAAAATGCCATGGTCTTCTATGGAGGAGCTTCGATCCTCGCGCATCGGGAAGTGACGGTGCCGGAACTTGCAGTGGGCAGGAGGCGTTGCGGGCTTTCAAAAGAGGTGAATTTGTGATGGTGATGGACAGCGATGATCGCGAGGACACTGGTAGACACCGCAGTTTGAATGATAAGGCAGCAGCACAGCCCAGATTTTGTAAGGACGAGTGTGACTTGATTCTGCCGGCGGAGAGCGTGACGGCATCCGCCTTTGCATGTACAAAGGGCGTGGCTGTGGGTGTGTGCTCGCATGCGCGCGCGCGCGCATGCGCCTGTAGGCTGCGCAGATGGCCTTCGCAATTCGCCACACCACTGGGATTGTTTGCATCGTGGGCGAGAAGGCCTGCAAACCGCGGGCCTCGAAAACGCGCCTCGGTCGTGCTCTCAGGAGAGACTAGAGCACTTTGGTTTGCATCCTGCTCCGGCCTTAGGGTTTCTTGCATAAATGTGTGGTCAGAGGCAGGGCCGATTGAGATGGCCTCTTTTGCTGTTTGGACAAACAAGCGGAAGCGCTCCTGCCCAGCTGCGCTGCTTCCTCGCAGCCTGCCTTGAGTCCTACCGATAGCGGAACGACTGCAAGGTACATGGACAGAACAGGATGAGGCCATTTGACACCCTGCAGCAAGCACTGCAAGCACCGAACAAATCAACAACTTCGTGCGCTGGGCCGTCCCGATCGTAGCGCCTTGCGCCATGGGCACAGCCGGTTCTCAGCCTCTCGCTGCACCAACACTGGGTCGGTTTCATTACCCTGCAGATCATGCGAAGTTAAGATGTACGAAGGCAGGTCGAGCAAATCGGAGAGTGTGGAGGGCGTTTCCGCTCGCCGTGAAGGGCTTCACTGCGCTAGCTTCGCTTCGACTTGCCTTACGTGCCGTACGTGCCAAGAGCGCGGCTTTCGAGCCGCTGGGCATTGAAAGCACCGGGGATGTGGTTAGTCAATATGTGCGGACCACGGTGCTCTCCGCCGAGTTGCTGCGGGGACCCCCTCCCGGGCTCCGAAGCTTCTCTCCGGAAGTTGGAAGGGCACTTCGGGAGGCCAGCGATGTGTGCGCCACGTTTCTGCCTCAAGTCCTGCGTGGACATGCCAGCGTTGAGGAGATATTCGACGTCCTCCGGTCTGCTTTGGATAGAGGCGAAGGCTTTGCGGCCTTGGAAGCTCCGCTACTACTATTGCATAACCAGGCGCCGTTGGCTATGCGCAAGGCAGTGCAAGCACGCATGGCCAAAGCAGCCGAGCCTTGGTCATGAGCACCCTGTAGCATGCAAGATTGAAAGCCACAGAATGGCTGGAGTGACAGCTGAGCAGTTGCATGTCTAGGTCCTCCAGTAGTGCCCTTCTCTCCCCTTTTTTGGGGGAGTTGTTTGGTTGGGAGGGTTCCCCTACCAAAACAGACAGAAAAAGAGTTGGTACCCGTATTTATTCTAAGCTCTCCAGTGGACGTAGATGTTGTGAGTTAGCTTGGCTTTGCGCAAGGACAAGCTGCTGAGCAAAACTGCACCGTGCAACACGTACCCCTTGGGCATTGCACTCACTGCCCTGGCAGCGGCAGTCCGTGGACCAGGCAGGATTGACAAATGACGTGCCCGGATGTTTTTGACCTTTGAAGTCAGCCCAGAAGAGGAGTTCATGCCCATTTGTTCCTGGCCCTTTTCACTTGGTTCTCATCAGTTGCCAAATGCCATCCAGACATGGCTGCGATTTATGCAGGTCCTCCCTTCTTTTCTCAGGGCTGCTCCGAACTATGAACAGCCTACGCAACAGCCTGCCCATTGGTTCAAACATACCAGCTGGCGATTTGTATGTGAACACCGAGCAACCTCTCCCACACGAGGGTAGCCAGTGCAGGTGATGCATCCAAGTGGAAGCCGCCAGAAGTCCTGCAGATTCGATCACAATCTCGCTGGAGGATGCCTCTAGAAACGCGTGACCAGATTTTGGCCCGCGACGCTGGCAGATGCTGGTATTGTGGAGAGGAGGGCGATACCGTCGACCATTGGATTCCACTCTGCCGTGGCGGCACCAATGCCTTGGTCAACTTGGTCTGTGCTTGCAGCAGCTGCAATGAGCTCAAGGGGAACACCATGCCGGATGACTTTCGGATTTCGGCGGCAGGGCAAAAAGGGGAGCTGTGCGTTGCGCGTGCAACGCCTAAAATCTCCCGAAGAGCCGCTGACGAAACTCTTCTTTTGCATTGGACCAGCTCTGCACTGAGGCCACGACTCGAAATACGGATGCAAACGCTACCAATTTCTATGTTTCTACAGCATTGGGCTCAGCAGAGTGCGTAGCACTTGTGCATTTGTGAGTTGTCTGACTGCGTGCTCAAAGGCTTGTTAAGCTTTCTGTGTGGGAACACCATCGCAAGAAGGAGTTTGTTACACCCCCAAAAAAAAGCAACATCATCACACAGATGATATCAATGTGTTAGGCAAAATCCCAGAGATATTGGATCCAAGAGTTGTAAGCACACGATCTAGGAATCTACAAACTCAACCAAGAGCCTGCTCTACATGCCTGAGAGCAATAGTCATAACTTCATAGCTTAACGTCATGTGGAATACATTTGAGCAAATAGACTTGCACCAATGGAAGCAAGGTGAAGCACGGCTTTCATCTAATAATTTACTCTTCATGGCAAGAACCCCGGAGCCTGATAGCCAAACACCAACATCAACAGAGAGCCATCCCATTTGGGGAATCAGAACAACGTGGGGATCCAACGCCCTCCAGCGCATTCCAAGCTCCAGCGAGCCCTCCCCTACCCATCTACACGCTTGACCAGCGGCGGATGTGTTGTCGCTTTGCCCAACATGCTGAACTCAAATCAAGAGAACCAACTGAAATCGTGGCTGCCACTGAGCAGAGACACTGTTGTCATGGTCATGCTGTGTAGTGTTCCGGAAATCCTCAGCATGCCGCCAATGCTTCCGAGGACTTTCTTCCAGGGACTTCCACTGGGGTGTCGGCAGCAGATCGTGCAACGACAGCCAGAGTTTCTCGTTGCTGCACATGGGTTTGTCCCCAAAATGGGTTTCACTTCCCCCAAGGGGAACCTGTGCTTGAAATTCCACCTGCCCTTTTGAGCCATGCTCCGGAGGCTTTGTGTGACCTCAAGAATCAAGCGAAGGCTGGGGCTGATGCTCTTGTCTCAGATTTGCTGCTGGGTTTTCAGTATCACAAAGGGTACCGACTCCGGAAGCAGCCAGGACTTCTCTAAGCCGGGTCATCTTTTCCCGCTTTGCGCCCGGACCGGCGGAGTCCTCGAACGACCAGGACGGACCCGGTCTTTGGTTTGCTTGTGCTGATTCGTTGCCGTTTTTCTAAAACGAGCCCCGTTTTGGGGAAGCCATCCAGTAGTAGGGACTTCCCACTTTGGAGACTGTTTGTGCAAGAAGCAAGGTACACCAAGGCTCTGAAAAAGGCGTTTGAGCTGATCTCCGATGATCTCGGATCTGTTCACTGCGAGGGCACACGGAGTCCACGTACGACTTCTGTCGACTTGCCGGCTTGATACCAGTCGGCGTCCTTGCGGAGTTGGCGGGGCTCCCAAGCCGGAATTGGCTGTGGGTCAAAACCGTTTGGCATCCCATTTTGGGGTAGGTGAATTCACCACCCATTTTTAGAACCTATTTTAGTGGGGATTGGGATGTTCACTGGGGGTACGATTTGGATTTTGACCCACGGCCAATTGTTGGTTCCATTGATTCCCGGACCAGTCTTTCATCCGCACATGGCATGTGTTTTTGTTTGTTTGTTTCCCGCAGATGCATGATGACGGAACTATGTACCGGCGGGATGATAGCCTGGCCTTTGCCAGCGCTCACAACATTCCGATTGCCTAAGCCCCAGCTCCATCTCTGACAGTCATGCGACAGGCTTGGTCATGATTTGGATTTGTGAAGGGGAGACATCGGCTGTTTGAATGGTGCGGCCATTTAGGTAACAGTGGAGCAGATTATCAACTACAGACGCGAGCATGGAGCCACCGCTCCAGCATCAGTCTTTGAGGCTGGGACGGACTTGTTCTGGAAGTCTGTTGAGCCACAATCAAAACCGATTCGGGTAGATGAAGGCTAGCAAGAAAAGTCCCTTAAAATTCGTTCTGGGTAGAGCAACTCCGTTGGTCATGATGGCTTCTTTGCTTTTGCCGACAGCAATGCTGGCCATATTGCTGTCGGCCTTTGCAAACTTTGCAACATTGCCACGTTCTCCTTCGCAAAGCTTGGCCCGAACTCGCACATTGTGCACTTCGATAGTATGAGCCGCTTGCCGCGCTCCGGCCCGGTGAGCACGCTCAGTGCCAGGAAATATGCTTCAGCTGCTTGGCCGATTTCTACAAGAGTCACTTCTGGTGTGGGCGTTCTTGGGCATTGTGCCAAGCAGGTTGCAGTTTGCATCGTCAAGTAATGCGTGGTATAGTCAGGGGATGCTCATTTGAGTCATCAACCCCATTGCGGGACCTGCCATTTTCGTGGTTTTCCATTCGATTTTCCTTTACCACGACAATCCGCTCCCACCAGAAAAAGACATACCCAAGAGGTGAGTTGTTTTCCTGCCAGGTTGCAGATGCTTTGCAGTTACAGATGCAGGGGCCGAAGGTGCCGCTGCCGCCGATTCAGCCTCTCCTACCACCATCAGGGAGTCTGCGAGTAGACGGAGCAGGAACTGCGGCCCCCAGGGGCGCCACAGGACGGGTGAAGGGACTTGCAGCATCATTGGAGGGCCTGAAAAGGGGAATCTCCTTTCAATGAAAGAACCAAAGCCCTGGAGGAGTGCCCGGAGTGGCCGGGACTGTTCATTTGAAGCGCGGCAGACCAGGCAACGGTGCTGCAGGTTTGCTCTCCATGCTCGCGATGGGGGCGGCTACCATGGTAACCCGGGAGTTTCAGCCCTCCAAACGAGTGCTCTCGCGCATGGGCCGCGCCCGCACGGCGCGGCGCTTCATGAGCTATCAGTGGGAGGAGGCGGGGAAGGATGGCAGAGAGGTCCGGCTGTACATCCCAGTGGATGCTGCCATCAAGGAGAAGCACGTAGAGATTGAGCTCAGCGAAAAGAAGCTGCGGGTCGGGTTGAAGACACGGGGCCCCGTGATAGACTCCGACTTGTATGACTTCGTTCATCCACATGAGAGCCACTGGTTCATTGACCGTCATGATGGCCGCACTTGCGTGGCTGTGACCCTCATGAAGAAAAACATGTGGAAGCAATGGCACTTTTTGACAACTCAGGAGGCTGCCAGCGTCTTGGCGCAAGCATTACATGCCCCATATCTATCATGAAGCGTCCACTTGTTCGAATTGCAGTTCAAGGCGCACTGAAATGCACGGAGTGGTTTTACTTTTTCTAGAAAGAGTGCAGCAGGTGACATCTTTCTTGACGAAATGGAAAGCTTCTAATATAAGAGTTGACGACACACTCCTGACCCACACCTCTTCAGAATGACAACCAGAGGTCCTCCCCGGGTGTGTAGGGGCAGAAAAGGGATGTAGGCCGCTTGATCCAAGGTATGCGCTTTCTTGGCCTGGCGAAGGCGTTGCTGATATGCTGCTGTGCCGTCCCTTCCCCAGAAGCTTTCCAGTTCTTTACAGGTACTTCAAGCCATTCGCTAAGCGCGAAAGCTCTCCGCCAGCATTTTCATGCAACGCTGAGGTGCTTATGGTACGACAGCTGCTCTACGGCTTGGGATGAGGCCAAGGTCTATACCCTGTCACATCAGCTCCTCAGCTCAGGCGCGGCTTTTCTGGATCTGGAGGAGGCTTTTGGCTGCGGCTTTTGTGGATCTATCCACAGGGTGTTGAACGAGCATCAAAGGCGTTCTAGGCTCAAACACGTACCAGGCTCGGACAGGTGGAATCCCCAAAACGCACATTCAAAACATTCGCTCGATGAGTTGCTGCTCGAGACAAGCCTTCAGCCGCGTCAGGTGTGATGGGCACATTTTGTGGGAGCCTATGCCCTCCTATGCCCTGCACTTGGCACATCCAGGGAGGGATATTTGGCACATTTCGACTCGAATCGGTCGAGTCAAAAGAAAAACCCTGGAAATATGATTAGGTGACGAGAGCTGCAAGCCTGGTACGAGTTCACAGCTGTGGTCCCCATCCTGCCAGTTTGCTTCAATCGATTGTCATAATTAGAGAGCTAACTAGGAACTCACTGATGTACTTGCATTCTTGAGTGACTGGCATGTTGCTTCCCTCGCCGCATGAATCATGTGCATAGCATGGTGCTGCTGTGTTGTGGCATGGCGTTACATTTGATTTCCAGTTGTGTGAGGTTGCAGCCAGCCGAAAGATGCCGTATTTTGGTAGCTGCTGACTGATGCAAGTCTGCGTACTTCAGCCTCAACTGTTCTGGCCGGGCAGGCTTTGCTCTAATTATGGTCAGCAAAGCGGTTGTTGTTTGCATAGCCCATGCGTCAGTCAGCAGAGAGACATGCGGCGGAAGTGCTATCAAGGAATGCCTTGATGTTCATGTTGCGGACCAGGGCAGATATATTTTCCACAATCGCGTGGACTCAGCACACCGGCGTGGGCCGAAGCATCACCTGATCAGGGCAGAACCAACGCCCAGCTATGCGTGATTCTGCGGTTCTGAGTCAGATTCTTGCCAACTGCCTGCAACATGGGCAGCACAAGCCAGTCGTAGTATGTCAGGAGATTGGAGATGAATCCTTTTTGGGCTGTCTCGCCCTTGGGCCTTCTGCTCATGTATTTCTTGTACAGATTGCTGGCGCGATGGGTACATGGTTTCGCTGCCTCATGTGAGGGCCTGCTTCCTGCACATGAGTCAGAACTTTGAAGGGCACCTGCGGACCTCGTATGAAGGTGAAACTCGAGACTGTAGGTGCCCACACAGTTTCATGGTTCCATTCTCTGGGGCTCTTTGGCAAATATTGATCGACGCTTTCAGCTGAGTGGAAAACAAGAGCAACGCTCTGGGCGTTTTTGAAGAGCCACAAGACTCTGGTTCCAGCATCCAGACGTCTGGATGGCCTTGACAACAGGCATTGAGCTCTTTTTGAGCAAGCTTCGCAGCTAAGTGCTCGGCTTCCATGCCCGCATGTCGAGTAACGCAATCATTAAAGTCAAAACGGCAAAGTAGCAGGTGTTGGCAGGCCCGGGCCCCGGGTGCATGGTGGAAGAGTTGGACCTTCTTCAGCTAGACAACAACCAATAGACTAAGATGAATAGAAAATAGAGGTACAAAAGGGCTGAGTGCAGCAAGTACTTTGGTACTTCCTGCGCGAAGCCGCGAGTGAAGCCTGTCTGCCTTGGAAAGGCAAGGGAGACTTCAAATGCTGGACTAATCCAAGATCGGTAAGAGACCGAAAGTGCTACATACTACGGTACATGCAGACGAGAGACCAAAAGTATCCACCTCTGCTCACGCAAAGCGAAGCTTTGCGTTGACTCACTTCAGAAATGCGTCTGAAGTTGTGTTTTTGTGTGGGTATGGGTCAAAATCAAGCCAGGACACCGCATTTTTTTGTTTTTTAATAGTCCTTGTTTCCATTTACCAGGGCAACCAATTTGGGGTACCTGTTTCTTACCCACACCCATGTGAAGTTTTTTTTTTTACGGCATTGACAGGCCTTGGAGTCCGGCGCCGTCAAGGACAGCCGCCCCCCCTACAACCCCCCCCCCTACAACCCCCCCCCCGCGCCACGACAAGGTATCACTGGCTGAAGTCAAAGTGAGAAACGGGGCTTTCGAGCGGCGGTTGGGTTCGTCCCTTTCGTTTTTTGTTTTTTGTGATTGAGAAACCATCACTGCCATGTGAAACTCATCGAAGCTACGCAAGGCATTGGCTACCAAAGGCAGCGCAAGCCCAACTGCTGTGGTGGCCGCATCGTGCGATGCCAGGTGTGCACCTGAGTTGCTGGGACATGCAGCATGAAAAGCCACATCCGACTTGGCGGAGAGCCACAGGGTTTGATTCATGTTTCACATTGTTCCGAATTTGCCCACATCCTTTCTTTTTCATTTCACATCGTTCCATTGCACGTTTTTGTCCACATTGTTTCATAGGGTTTCACATCGTTCCACGCCCATATCATGGTTTTGCCTTTCATTTGTTCCGCACGGGTTCCACGCTGCACATTGCTCCACTTGTGCCACCTTGTTTTTCGTATTCCACATTCCGCGTTCCACATTCCATATCGTTCTGCATTCCACTCCACGTTGGTTCATTCTTGCAGCAGTTTCAACATTGCTGGTTAGCTTGCCTTCTTCACTTTGATGTAGTTCCTATTTTTGCTGCTACATGCATGATTTTGCATGTAAGCCGCTGACTCTACTCTCTCCGCCTTTCTTGTTTGCATTTATTCTCGGCTGGAACTAGCCTCACTGATTGTAGATTGCCAGAGATCTGATTGAGTGTGTGCATTAAAAGCGGAGACACTTTTGACTTCAGGCCCATTCTTGTTTACTCCTTGTCTTGCGCATGACCACCGCAATCTTGGACCTCTTATCCTATCAATCTCCTCCATCACACTTACTAACATTTGCATCAAGTTGAATTGGCAGTGGAAGCGTAGCAACACAGCCATTTCAAAAAAACAGCTGGTCCTTGGGCAAACCATGCTCTCCGTTGACTAATTGTTTCACTATGTTTTTTTGTTGTTCTTAGAGTTTGTGCCACTGTGTAAGTGATATGTATGTATATATATATAGATATACGCATGCCAACTCAGGCTTTGGGGAATTGGATCCAAAAGTGTCATTCTGATGCAGCTCAGCCCGGCCATTTGTATCAGTGACAGGGAGACGTGTCAAGCCGCCCGCGTCGAGGCCCGTCAAGCCGCCAACCTCGAAGCTATGATGCCGTGGACCCGGGACTGGCGACGCGAGTTCTGAGCGGGGGCGCTACGAGCGTCTTGCTGGTTTGCTTGGATGTTGCTCGCAGCCTTTTGCAGAACATCCACGCAGCGCTGGGTGGCTCCATTTTGAGAGAAGTAAGCAAGCAGACGCATCAATAGGTTGGACAGCCTTTGCCCATACTGTGAGGAGTCTTGGTAAAAGAGACCAGGATGCTTTTTCGCGTTTCTGGTCTCAGTCAAACATGGTTGACAGAGGAACAGTACAGCATAATTTGCCATTTCTGCAAGATGTGCCAAGCGATGGCCCGACACTCAGGATGTTGCATATCAAGTGGAAGGAGAGGCCATGAAAGGCCGCAGCACTTGCCGCCTTACTTCTCATTATTTTCTCCCACTGACAGTTGAGAAATCCTTGAAACACAGGTACCATGAAGGAAGGACAACATTCTGGCGACTTTTGCAAGTGTGTTTGCGGACTTCATGAAACTCAAGAAGACATTGGGTATGGCCTGCTTGCTTGACGCAATGACAGCATGTGAAGTGAGGTCGAGCCCCAATATGCTACAATGCATGGGCGGCCGCCTGAGTCTTCTGTTTGGTGTTCCTTTTCCCATCACCTGCACATCTCGCCTCAATGCCGGTGCTTGAGGCTCGGCATCTTTCCCTTTGGAGGCAGGTGACATGACCCCCCCCCCCCAAAATGGCGCAACGGTTTGTCTTTTGGTTTCCCTTTTCAACCATCAAGCAAGGGTACTTGGGTGTTCAAGCAACTTAGGCTATAACCACAGTTGCAACTGGGCAACAGGGTTGGTCCCCTTATCCTGGTTATAACCTACCTGCCAAGCCGCTTGACATCCAAGTACTCTCGAAGCGACGGGGTGCTTAGCGTGAGGCCCTTGCCCCCACTCGGTGCTAGCCTCAGCCTCTGGCAGGCCCAGAGAAAAAACAGAGCAAACGGCTGCAGGCTGGACTTCAAGCTCCCAGCCCGCGAACGCCTTAGGTTCATACTGTGGGTGGACGAAATCCGGCACCACTTTGAAACCACAAACCATTGTTTGTTGGCATTTACAGGGGAAGCATCACCCCAGGGTTGTTTAGGTGGTGCAGGATTTCGTCCATCCACAATAGGTGTCCATTTTGGGTTAGTTTGGTTAAAAACAGAAGGCACTGGTTTAGACGGGGCTTATTCCACGTACCGGGGCCATCTGTTTTTTCAAACGGACACCTATGCTTAGGTTTAGACTTGGCTGTCACGTGACATGTGGACACATCTTGGGGTCTTGGGCTAGGGTTTCGCAGCTGGTAGTCTTTGCTTCCATTTACCAAAGGGACATTTTGGTACATGTATTTGAGCCACAGCCACATGGCACATCTTGACACAGAAACATGTAAGCAAAAGCATGCACATGCAAGCATGGTGTTAACACAGAAAGTGATGGAGCCTTTGCTTTGCATCTGAGTATTGCAATTTGCGTGTGCACAACACTATTCTTTTCCTGCAAGCCACCTAGGCAGAATGTAGGTGCACACTTGCCCTAATCTACGTGCGTTCACTTGCATGCATTCTTACTGATGAATTCCCGTCCGTGCATTCCAGCAGTTCCCATGTGTTCCAGCGGCACTTACATTGACGAGCATGCACTTGTGCGCATAGACACATTGTGTTGTGTGCGCATGAGTGCATCCTAGCGCACAGCAAGAAGCGCACATGCTTCCATTTTGGCACTGCGAGGTTAGCTCGGGAGGATGGAATTGTTCCAGGCTGGGCACTTATGACAGTCCTGAGAAAGCCGCTGAGATGTTGACAGCCAAGCACTCACAGGACCGTATGAAGTGCACGTTGACAAGGACCTCGGTTTACTTGCCTTGCAGAGTGGCATTGCATGTGTAGATTGTGTAATCGCCCGGGAAATCGAACGCCTCCAATGTGTTTTGCTTCTGCCTCACACATGCCCCATGGAAGGAGAGAACTATGTGCACATTGCCAGTGCCAAGTGCGCCTCGGAGGTCACCATTCCGTCGGTCGACTCTGAATACGCTCAGAATGCAAGGGTTCCGGACCTGGTGACCTGCGTCTTGCGGAGGGGCGTCCACAGGAAAACCCCTCTGATGTCGGTAGTTGCACCAACTCAAAAGTGCTTGACAGTGACATGCTGTACTCTTCTTCCCAAAGCAACGATAAGTTTTGTGGTCGCGCCGGCATCGACTTGGTAGTGGTCATGGCTAGCACTGGGGTCCCGTTTTGTCTTTATTTGGGGGCTGAATGCAGCCCATGCAATTCCACCTGCACGGTGGATTGCGTTCATGAAGACACGTAGCCATGAGGCCATCATCGTTGTCAGAGCTGAGATCTAAATGGTGGTGTTGTTGTGCATGTAGCGTGCCAGCTGCATGGTTCATAATTAGAGACTGGAAGCGAACAGTGGTCTCTCTCCCTCAAATACGGGCGGCACGTCGGCACCAACAGCCTTGCAACAATGCCCTGCCCAGAGCTACCTTGCGTGATTTGTTTTTCAACAATGACACAAGCTGAACTGTTTCCAGAGTGGGAGGCCACATGTGGATGAGGGCGAGCGAACTTCGCATTCTCCTCACTTTGGCGACGACGGACAGGCAGGACAGCTTGAAACATGTCATTTCCCACAGATTTTTCAGGGCGGCTGTTTAGCGTCGTCTCCTTTCGTGCGAAACGTCACTCCGTTTTCTCCAGGCCTCGACGCTGGATTTTCTCAAGGACCTCACACAACAAACCCACATTCTTAGGTGGGTCCAAGTTCCAACCCAATAGGCCCAACAGCCAATCTATGCCCGTTTGAGGATGGGTAGCAGAATCCAGCCAGGAAAGGTAGCACGACACAGACACACAGACACGAACACGGACACCAACACACGAACACAGGAAACAGCGCACACACACACACACACAAACACACGAGAAAACAAACGTACTAACACACAAACGCAGAAACACACGAACACACAAACACACGAACACACAAACACAAACACAAACCCACAAGCACACAAGCACAACACGCATACTTGACGCTTGGTTCTCTAGATGTTTTCTTAGCCCAAGTGCTAAGCCAAGAGGGTTGAAGTTCGGGCCAAGGGTGTTCGTGTGTTTGTTTCCCGCTGCTTCGGGCAACTCAACTCTTTGTGCATCATAGCTTGTGTGTTGGATGCAAGCCCGGGGAGCCGCGCAAATTGAAGGCTGGAAGCAGCGATTCAGAACTTCAGTCTCGTTCAGGGCTCAGAGACTCTCCGGAGGCGACCAGCTTTGAGCCACACAGAAACAGACAACCGCCAGCTTTGGAGCTCCCATTTGAAGCTGTTCGAAGATGCGCACTGGCCTTCAGGAGTTGTCATATCAATCTGAGAAAACCAAGAGAGTGGCGAAAGGCTTGATCTTGCTACATTTGAGGCAATGGCCCACATAGAGGTAAATAGGTTCAAGTCCTAAATCAAGCATTTCTGACACATCTACCGCAGTTTTGGCATGGAGCTGATAGACCTCCCAGCTGAGGTGTTGAGTCAGCGCCAGCCGGCGACCCCCAAGCTGTGCCCACCCACGGTGACCTGCGGCAGCTGCGGGAGTTGCGTGCCACCTTGCGGCGGGAGAGCCTCGAGCGGCGGCGACTGGAAGAGTGCCTGCAGCCGATGCTTCGGCGCCTGGGTGACGTCGAGGCGGAAGCCGCGCGACTTGGCGGCGACTTGAGGGACACCGCCATTCAGCGGGAGGAGCTGCAGCGCCAAATCTCCGAGCGCCACCAGTCGGTGGCGAAGCTTCAGCAGATGTGCCGCAAGGAGCAGGAGACGCGGCGCCGCCTGGACTCGGGCCTTCTGCTGTGCCGGAAGCAAAAGCAGGAGCTGGAGGATCAGCAACTGAAGCGGCCAAAGGCGGGGCAGGGTGTTTGTGCCCGAGTGCGCTTGGAGATGCATATTGTAATATGTATATATATATATATAAGAGTATATTTGCATATACACATGCTATGCAATGGAATGGAATGGGCTGGAACGGACTGCAACGAATTAATGAATCCAGTGAATGCAACAAATGTAACATATGCAATGAATGTGACAAATGCAATGAATGTAATGAGTGTAATTATTGTAATACATATCATGAATGTAATGAATGTATGTAATGCATGTAATGTAATGCAATGCAATGTATTGTAATGCAATGTAATATAATGTAATGTAATGCAATGCAATGTAGCGTAATGCATTGTAATGCAGCACAAAGCATGCAGGACATGTGAGATATGTACGTAATGCAATGTGATGTGACACATACGATACGATACGATGCAATGCAATGCCATGCATCAATACATACATACATGCATGCATACATACATTACATTACATTACATTACATTTACATTACATTACATTACATACATTACATTACATTACATTACATTACATTACATTACATTACATTACATTACATTACATTACATTACATTACATACACATACACATACACATACACATACACATACATTTACATTTACATTTACATTTACATTTACATTTACATTTACATTTACATTTACATTTACATTTACATTTACATTTACATTTACATTTACATTTACATTTACATTTACATTTACATTTACATTTACATTTACATTTACATTTACATTTACATTTACATTTACATTTACATTTACATATACATACATACATACATACATACATACATACATACATACCTACATACATACATACATACATACATACATACATACATACATACATACATACATACATACATACATACATACACACACACGCACACACACACACACACACGTATCAATGATGTTGGCCAGGGCAACCGCTCAGAGATCATGCTCTGAATTTGGGAGCACAGTTTCTTGCTCGAGGTACCTGCTGCTAAATTGACCTTCGCCTGTTCTCACATATTTGCTTGGGTGCTGACATCAAGGTGCCAAGAAGTCCTCATGCCAAGAAACCCTTACGTTCTTCCTCCATTTGATCAGGGGATTCGGTCATGACACTTAGGATGATTTCATATGGCAGGCACAGGAGGATTCGGATCTGCGCCTGGTACCCTCCTCTTCCCCGCCTTCCCTATCTCACTTGGAGACTTCCAGCCCCTGCTCCTCCGCCGGCGCTGGTGCGGCAGCATCGGATGAAGAAGCCGCGCCGCCGAGTGAGGAGGGAGCCAGCGGCCTCGAGCCCTTGGAAGCGATGCCGTTCGAGAAGGACGTGACTTCCGCAAGGGAGAAGGGCCATATCGAGCGGGACGGAGAGGCAATGTGCAGGAATGAAGATGCGACCAAAGCACAAGAGGTGGCAATTCCTTCGATCTCGCAGAGGGATCTTTCCGAGCTGAAGGCTCTCAAGAAGCCTCCAGTCCCGGTGCGAATGCTTATGGAAATTTGCTGCATGCTCTTTGGAATACCACCAGAGAAGCATCTGAATAACGGTGCAAAGAAGCTCCTTGGATGCACATTGGGCTGCAAGAGCGGGACTCGCGTGCAATGTGAAGTTTTGCAGCCCCCGGCATCCTCGACATCCCTGCGCATCCCAACCACTCCCCAACAAGGGGGTCACAATGGGGGGGTCAGAATGACCTTGGGTGGGGGGGAGGGGACCTGGATCATATATGCTTTGGGGCACAGTCACGCTGCAGGTGAACATGAACATTTTGTTTGTGTCAAGCTTTGCTTGGTTTGTGTGGTGAACGCAGGTTTATCTACGACTATTGGGAACCTGCCCGGCGGTTCCTTTTGTCCGATTCCTTCTTCCTGCCAAAGATCCGTGCGCTGACGCCTTCTCAGGCAAATAGAAGGGCTACGAAACTGATTGGCAATGAGTTGTTGTGAGCAAGTTCGCGATGCCCGCAGGTTTCTGCTGCACAGCGGGCTAGGACAGAACACGTGGTAGCTTTTCCCTGCAACCTGAACATATTTTCCTGGAGGATTCGGCGGTACTTCCAAGTCCCTGACTTCACTGCCGAGCGAGCCAGCGCCTGAGACGAAGTTGCCTGAGCCACTGAGCTCAGCTGAACCAGGAATCGGACCACAGATTCTAGTGCATGGGCCCCCATTTACCAGCCCCCATCTTGGGGGATTCCAATTTTTGACCCATGAGGTGAGGAATTGCTCGAAAGCAGCTCTGGAGCTTTACTGCTGGGTGAGGAGCTGAGAGCGGAGAGCGACTGCAGCTACCGCCGGGATATCCCACGATGCCAAGAATGCTCCCCGCCAAGCGGCACATTGTTTCCATGAGCAGATTGTCAGACCCGGTAAGCATGGCTGAGCTTTGCAAAATCGTTGGTTCCCTCGTGAATCATCGACATGTGGCGCATCTCGATGCTTCTTGCAAGGTGCGCAGCCTTGTGACGTGCAAGTCACCGGCGAGCGATGAGCAGAAAGCGTAAGACCAGACAAGGTAGGTTTGAAACCAACAGCCAGCAAAACAATCCAGACGTTCATCATGGCGGTACTTGGGCAATGCGTAATATTCTGCCGGTGCGTTCCTGTTTCAAGCCTCGGGTGGAGGATTATGTAGCATACTGAGCAGTTTCACCGGATGTTTCACTTCAAAGCCAAATGCAGCGAAATGCCGAAAGGTTACTCCGTGGCCATTGCTGCTCTGAGGGAAAGCCTGCATGCTTGCATCCTCTGAGGTGGCTTCGTCGTGTCAGCCGCTTGGTTTCTTCTTTGCACTGCAGGGCAAAGCTGGAACCTTGCAAGAGGCATTCGTTGGTTGAATGTAAGATATCCTGGTAAGATTTGCTGGGCACACCTCAGCTTTCACCAGCATGCGTGCATCCTTTCTCGGTGCACTGTGATGGGCCAGCCTGGCTCAACTGCATGAAACACGCAATTGCTGCTTGCTGCCAGCATGTTGATTGCAAAGCTCGCTTGCAACGCAGTTTTCCTGGCTCTATAGCCGTTGACAGTGCACTAATATCGCATCTTTCGGGACGGTAGAAGATGCGATCAAGTTGCAACAAATGTCATAGCAAACACATCGACAGAACATGCATATGTTTCGTATTTGTCGAAGATGCACATTGGCAGGTTCAGGCTGTTCATTTTTCCCAGCACATAGTGGGGTTTCACAGGAGAAGCTTTCACCCGGGTGCGCTCCCTTCATGCCGCCACAAGCACAATTTGTCTGAATTGAGGTTCTTGTGTGCTTCACAACTATCGCAAATGCGAGTCAAGCGCAGGGGAAGCTTGCTTTCGCTCGTCTGTCTTGGCTTTGGATGCACCTTTTGCTCATACGGCTCCGGGGTTTTCCCTCGCAGGACACCGCATAGTTTCGCTCCTGAGAGTTCTCTTCGCGGAAGCCGGGTGAGCCGTGCAGCAGTGTTTAGTGTGCTAGCAGAAGAGGTGAACCATAGACCTGCCTTCTTCTTTGGAGAGGTGTTCATCATCGTGGTGCTCTCGGCTGGCTTCGAAAAAGCAGAAAAGTGGCTGCGCGAAAGGCTGAAAACAAGCGGTGACTACACAGGGAGAAAGATTCTCGACGCGCTCTTTCGAGAGATCACCATCCTGGGTTTCATTGGATTGCTCCTCTTTGTGCTTACACACCTGCTACCAGAGGATAGTCCTCTGATATCTTTTGGTCAGGCCGAGTACAACATCCTTCCGGAGACTTTCGAGTACGTGCACATGGCCACATTCCTGCTTTTGGTGGTCCTACTTTTCCAAGGATTTGCAGTTCTGAGGATCTCGCGAGAGACTGCAAATACCTGGGCAGACTATGAGCGGGTCCGTGCATTTGGTATGAGCGAAACGTCAATCGAGTCCATGCTCGTTGAGGAGGGCTATTTGGAGCGGCAGCCAGCTGCCAATGGCAACGGCTTCGAGCTCCAAACTTTGAAGCCATTTACCTACGGTGAGGGTGTCATCGAGCGGGCTTTGCTGAGACGAAAGTACGTCCACAAGTTGGTGATGTGGAGGGCGGTTCGCCACGGCTTTCTTTTTGATGGCCCGCAGAGCAAGCTCTTGGTGTCGGAAGGGGCCGTGATCCCGGGGCTCTTCAGCTTTGAGACCTTCTTGGAGCAGCAGCTGGGTCAAATTGCAGCTCCGCTCAAAAAGGCGGTTTAGCGTTGAGCTTGTGTGAGATGGCCACACATTGTGCGTTTTTGTGTTGGGTAGTGCAACAAATCTCGACTTGTTCGGCTCTGTTTGGGTTTTGAGATTCGGTGGCAAAGCCAGCTCGAGGTGCTTGGATTGGTTGAGGTGGATGTCACCACCTGGTTCGTGGCACTACTATTTGTGGCCCTTGTCACAGTCACATGCTTGACCCTGGATTGGGTGAATGCACAGCTGATGCAGTGTGTTTGCAGCTGGGCACTGCTGGGCATCGCCTTCGCCTTCTCCATCGTCTTGGAGGAGGACACCTTCGAGCTGACCCCCCAGGTGAGGCACAATCAAATCCAATTTGGTTCGGGTAGATGATCCGGTTAAGGGCCAATCCCCTTGCCACAAATAGCTGCGGATCTCCGCCTTCATTCTTGAAGCATGGTTCTGGGTTCACCATTTCGCTGTGGGTCAAAATTAAACCACTAGGGGACCGCAGGTGTTAGTCCATGTTTCCGTTTCCCAAGGTTCCATTTTGGGGTCGCCCTGTTTTTGACCCCCCCATCTTACACCCGGGTGGCTGCTTGGCTGATTGGCTGATGGCTCAGGTGCCCGAGGACCCCCGGCAGATGCTCCGCATGTTCTCGGGCACGTCGCTGCAGATGCTGCGGCGCCAGAGTTGGCTCGGGGAGCCCGAGGAGGCCGAGGACCCGGACTTCAGCCTCTCGGGCCGGCGCTTCCGCCCCGTGCTGCCGGGCCTGGAAGGCATCGCGCGGCCCAAGATCGGGCCGTCCAAGAGCAAGGTGGAGGGCATCGAAAAGAAGTACTTCTTCATCCAAGAGTACACCCTGGCTTTCAAGCTGATCTTCTTCCTGCAGGCGGCGGTGGTTGCCTCCTTGTTGGTGGAGCTCTTAGATGGAAGTGTCCATGGCTTAAACAGAACAGTCCCGTTTGCCTTGGCCTGCGCGGAGTGGCCTTTGATGCTTTTCTGGCTGGTTCCTGATTTGGTTCGTCGTCTGACTGTGCGGGCAGCTGTCACTCGCACACGCAAAAATTATTGGTTTCGCGACCAGCAGCGGAGCCTGGTGAAGAAGGTCATGATCTCCGGCATCGAAGGCTTGCTGCGAGACTGCTCTCGCCTGATCCATTTGCAGGGCATGGAAGCTCGTGCAGTCATGGCGAGTGAGACTTGGACACTAACGGCCAAAGCACTGACAGGGCAGTCGCGGGAATATTTGGAGAAGACGCAGCAGCTTATGGCTGTGAAGAATGTGCGCTGGGGCACAAATTTATTCAATGATTTGCCTCCGAATCTAAAGACAGAAGTGAACAGCATTTTTACAAGTTGGGATGCGCAAAATGCTGGGGCCGTCGCCCCAGTAGAACTTGCCAGAAACATCAGACTCATGGGTTTCACTGCCACGGCCAATCGGGTTGCTCAAAACTTGATCCGACTGGTGGATGATGATGGAAGTGGCATGCTCACCTTCCGGAAGTGCGCGGCCTTATTCATGCTGGCAACCACAGGACGGCCGACGCAGGAGCGCCGGCGTGACCTGCAGAGTTTCTTCTCCAGAGTCCGCAAGCGAAGCCCGCGGAATGCCACGGTCTTCGAGCTTGCACGCGCCCTGCCACTCAACAGTATCACTGCAGAAGATCTTGCCACGTTGATGTACCGGCACTTCGGTCGAGTGAAGCCATCTGTGACTAGAGCTGAATTTGTTGAGTGGATCGAAGCAATCGAGTCCTCTCAGCTGCTTGCAGAAGCAGCCAAAGTGGCTTAAGTTTGGCTGTCAAACACGCTGGATGCAGAGAAAAAGTCATCTTGCATTTTGCACTGGCTTTTAGCTTTGCAGCTTGTGCATGTTCATTCATCAAAAAGGAGTTGAGCTATGGCATGCCATGGCCTTCTGAAGCTATTCATTTGCTGAGAACGAATATCAGAGGAGGTGATTTCGGATGGGTTGGGATCCAGATTCGTGTCTTGGAGTCACTGAAGTGGGTCACTCTGAATGCCAAGGTTTGGCCGTGGGCTGCGAAGTAGCCACACCGGCAGTGGGCTCACTCCACTACCAGGGCGCATTTTCAGAGCATGATATATGCTTTCTGCTTGTAGACTGCCGCGAGTGGGCAAATGCCCACCCCCCCAGTTTTGCACTTTAAGTCGGAAAAGCTGTGGCTCTCACAAAATTTATGCTTTGAAGCATGACCTGGGCCTGTTGCATTGACTTGACCATAGTATTCCCTTGAGACGCCAGATTCTGCTTCCTGCTTGATAGCAGCTGCTAGCAGCCGCCGCAATTACTTGCGTATCAATCTTGAGCGCGCGTGCTGTTGCTCAAAGCAAGCGCCCAGTCGGGGGCAAGACGTTGGCGCAGCTTCCCTTTGCATGATCATGCTAGCCTTTCGAGTGGACCTGAAACTAACACCCAATCAGAGATTCAAGTGAGGGGTACTCATCGAGCATTCGGTTGATTTCTTGTTCTGATTTTGTTGGGCCGCAGACCATGTTGATGTTGTCTTCACATCAATTCGTAGCCGCAATCAGCTATGCAGATGCAGCACCGTGCCATGCTTGCTTTGGCAGATTTGGCAGGAAGTATGCCCTGCTGGGCCCATGACGGGCCAGATCTCTCAGTATGGCCGGTTTTTGAGAGGACGTCCGCCAGCCCTGCTGGGCAGAAGGGTGGAGAGGCTTTCAGAAGTGAGAAAGCCGAGGGCTGTCGGCCCTGGCTATGCCATTGACAGCGCTTCAGGTGTCGTGAGGTCCAATTTGGGTGCCACTGAATCAACTCCGCGCCAATTGTGTCGAGAGGCGTTGCGAGAAAATGTTCAGTCACGCCCGCTCCTGCGACAAGCTGCACAGCGCGCGACGACGCCTGCAGAATGCGTTCTGGTTTTGAGCCATTTGGCGCACAGCCGCCCTGTGGACGAGCCTTCCATGCGGCTCTTAGCCGAGAAGTTGAAGCAGAGCCCGACAATCAGCGCCAAGCAGTTCTGCTTGGCGGCGAGTGCCTTTGCGCGGGCAAGACTTTGGGTAGCCACGTTTGGTTCTATGGTGTCTGACCTGAACAGGCAAGAGGGGTCTGTGCTTTCCTTGAAAGATTTCAATCAGACCGATCTTGTTCAGCTGCTGCGCTTTGTGAGCGTATTTGGTGGGCTGATCGAGGACAAGGACGCGTTGTGGACGGCGGCAGGTTCGCGGCTACAAGAAGAGGAGCAGAAGGGGCAAAGGTTGGATGCAACCGGCCTGGTCTCGTTGCTGCGATCACTGGTGCAAGCCGAGCATCCGAGCCTAGCAACGTGGCTTCGCGCGCGATTGCTAGAGGAACTTCCGGTCTGCTCTCCTCGACAATTGGCCAGCGCATTGCTAGATCTCGGTGCTTTGGAGCTGTTAGATTCTCGAACAGTGCAGACTCTACAGCGTGAAGTGACTCGCACAATGTCTTCAAATCCGGAAGCCATGCGACCGCGAGACCTGGCTTCAATTCTGGCAGGATATTCAAAGCTTTCGGACTTAGACCAGCGGCAAGATCTCATGTTTCCCTTGCTGCCTCAGATGCAAGCATTGATGCCTGGCTGCTCGGTTTCCGACCTTTGCGAAGTCCTTCATGCGTTAGCTGCTGCGCACATCACTGTTCGGGCTCTGCTGGAGACGTGGTCCTCTAACTTCTTGGACAAGGCAGTTGCATGATCTGCTAGCATGGCAAAGGCGTCTGATTGTCAGGCGAAAAGCCTTGCATTCCACGGGGCAGGCGAAAGGAGTGTCTTGAACGTTGGCTGTGCCAGGCACTTGTTCCACGTAGCCAAAATGGTGTGGTGCTCAAGTCCAGCGGTTTCAAGGATTCGGTGGGATTGACATGGAAGGTGCTACGGAGCCACTTTCCCTGAGCCCGCAGTGGACCCAGAGATGTGGAGAGGCAAGCGCGACTTGTGGGCTGAAGTCAGGAGCCAACTATCACTGGCCATCGCGGACCTTGTCAAGTTGCGATTTGTCAATCAGGCCGAGAGGGAGTTCTCCGGGCATGGCCAGGGACATGACGGCCCCGCAAGGATCCGCATGGGACCTTTCACGCCTTGCTGAAGTCGGTTTCAGACGTCCTTGCCTTGGAATGCATCATGTTTTCATGGCCTTGCACCAGACCAGACTATTGTGTCATGCGTTGAAGCCGTGAATGAAACGTAGTGACGTAGTGGAAGCGCTGGCAGTTGTGCTTGTTCAAGCTGAGAAAGGCTTCGCCCCGGCCCCACACCAGCTGTGCTAACAAAAACTGCAAAGAACATCCAACAAACGAAGGCACATCGGGAGCGCGACAAAGAACTGACAAGGGAAACGTGCTCGCCTTCCCAGACGCCTTGCCGAACAAACAAGTCGAAGTACAACAAAAGCAGAGAACGGCAGCGAAAGTATACAAACACATATTTTAGTACCAGGTGCTGCCCTCCCCTCGGATGTCAGCAGGTCAAGATCTCTTTTTGTGCAGATGGCGATGTGGAAATCTTGCTGATTCGGTCCCCTATTTGCATCTTGCCGCTGAGACCGCTGGTTTGGAGGTTTCTGAGGGCGACGCTCCATCACGGCCTCGTTGGTTCCTGGGAAGTCCAACCGCAACAGCTTTATGTGGCACAATACCTTCTGACTCATGTTTGCTAGAGCTTTCATGGAGGCGAGCGTTGGCCTTACCCCTTCCGCGATGCCGAAGGTCTCTCCTGCTCTTGGCGGGTTGTCAGTCTATGGCTTAGTTTTCCCTTAGGAGTGTCATGGGTATGCTGTTTGTTGGCTTTGGGAAACCAAAAGGAGACCCGAAACCATTTGGTGGTCTGCTCCTTCGGCATGCGATCTCAGGTGTGCCACGTCGTCAGTGCCTTGGCGCGCCTCAAGCACGCAGACAAAGGTCAATCGCAAGGCCCTCAAGGGCCGGAAGGTCGAAGTCTTGCGGGAGAAAATGGGTCTGCTTTGCTTTTTGGGTTAGGGGGGGCTTTTTGGTTGGTTTTAATGAAACACCAAAAGGAAGATCAACAATTTGAAGGGCCCGCTATTTTGAGAGAACCCACAAATTGATTCGCAGTAGGGTTGTAAAAAATGCACGCTCCATTAGGCAAGCAAGATCAGTATGAAGGGCCTGTAGCTTTGCAAGTCGTGCAAACCTTCTCCCAAATCTCTCCACGTCCGAGGGCAAAAGGTCTGCTGAACACGGATGAAGATTTTCAGAAGACGCTCGTGCACAAGCTGGAGGCTCTGACAGGGCGAAGCTAGAGGGGGCATCCAGTATGTGGCTTCTCGATGTACACAGGCACAGCTGGTGTCGAAAGTGGAGGAGCTGCAACCCCAGGCAAGTCGGCATTCAGGTGAAGTGTTTTTGGTGGCTGTTTACGGTGTGCTTAGGCTGAGTTTAGGGTGTTAGTGTCACGTTTTGCTGGCCTCCGCTTTCCCTCTCGCAGCAAAATGCATTCAGATGTTCTGCAAACCGGGTTTCTTTTACCAGTATGTTCCTGCTGTGAAGTAGAAGTTTCGAGTAGTAGCCATGGCTGTCCGCATGGCCATGGCGTGTATCACGCTAGCGTCCAACGCGGTGTCCTGCTGCTTGCCAAGAAGCGTGTTTTTTGGCGCAGCTTTGTTAGTACAGACCCCTAAACGGTGGTTTTTCCTGTCGGTTTCCCTTTCAAACCACCAAAACGGGAGGTTCCAAACCTGTAAAAATACATTTATATATATATATATATATATATGTTGTGATCTTTTCATCGTGCAGGGCATCGCTGCAAGCGCGGAAGCTTTTGTGAAGCTGCAGCACATCAGTCTTTGCCTCAGCGAGCACTGCACTCTTGGTGCGGACAAACAAAATTAAAGTCACCCGTCAGAGGAATGTTGACCCCCTGTTAATCCACCCTCGTTTATTAATAGGGGGTCCCTGGGTATGGTGGGGAATCATCACGTTTGGAGGGGAACACCCCCCACCAAAGAACTTTCTGTTGATGAATATGGGGTCAACATCAGGTAGACTTTGACTGGGTCCACACGTTGCGCGTTCGCAGAGCGCGCTGGCGTTAGGGGGATGGCCACCCCTATCACTGGCTGTAAAGTTCCACGAGCGCGTGCAAAAGCATACCACACTGCAAAGCACATTTGCAACATGAAAACAGCGTTGCAGACAGTCGCAACATGTCGCAAAATATCGAAAGTTCAATACTTCACTGGCTGGTTTGCCGTTCTGATGCTCAAGACTCCAAATGTAGCTGCGTCGGAATTTCCACGAGCAGGTCTTATCGGCAATGCATGCTTGTCAGTTCCACCTTTCCGCACTAAATCATGTTGAGCAATAGTCAATATTCATCATTACTGTAGTAAGGGGGTACACACCCACCAAATTCCCAGGTTGAGTATGAGGTGTAGCTCATATCAGCGAAGAATCAGATTTGGCCTTTGGACATGTCAATATTCCCGTTGTACGGATTCCGTCTATTCTTTGATATAATGTTTTGTTTGTCTGTTATCTGGTAGATGGATTGCTTTCGAGATGCAGGCGGTTTTCTGCAAGAAATGATTTTGTGCCAGCACACCAGCATTGCATTCTTGAGGTGAGGAGCTATTCAACTGCCTGACTACAGCTTCAATGAAATGTGCCAGCCTTGTCCACTTCATGGTGGGCGATCTCTTTCGTTGTTTGAGGCTTGGCGGAATTCTCATCAGAGGATTTTGCAATGATGTCCTCAGCTCTTGGCACTGCAAGATGCTCAGTGTCAATTGTAAGAAGAGCATTGCATGTTCAGTACAGACTTGTGGCTCTCCATTTCTTCCTGTATTGCTTGTGCTTTTGCTTGCATCCCTTTCACGTGTGGGGAGCAACTCAGTTTGAGGCCCAGAAGACCTTGGTCAGCTTTCAAGGCGCACAGCTGAGAACTCTCTCTCTCTCTCTCTCTCTCTGTGCGGCCAATCAGTTTGCCCCTAGGTGACGTGCTGGAGCAGTTTGGTCGGCAAGCAGCCCGTTCTCTGACGGAGAGCGCTTGGACACCTAGGCGGGCGCTTGCTTCGATCAAGACTCGGTATTCGCTTGCATGTCATTGGTTTTTCAAGGGCGGCAGGGGGCCCAGAAGGGCATTGAACACAGCTAGCGTTGGGGTGCCGAAACCGGAGTTTTGGCCTGGTCCAGCAAATGTTGGCACGGCATTTCCCCGAGGGCACAGTTGCAGCTTCAACTTTCGAGCCCAACTTACAATGTTCCACGGGAGTTTACCTTGTTCAGCGCATCAATTTGCACTTCAGCTATTGTGATTTGTCGGAGTCGGTGTCCCTTGAGCGCATGTCCTTTGCGTGCATGCTCAATTCAAACAAGAAACGGTAATATTCGATAGGGCGTTTGGCAAGGGCAGCCCTGCCGCAGCCTCATGCGTGCGGAAGATGATTTCGTGCAACACATGTTGAGAGGCAAGTTGCTCCCATCCCTGCGAATCCTTCAAATGGGAAGTCGCCTCTGATTGAGCCAGTCATGTGAACATGACGAACGTAGGCTTTGAGACATGGTACCTTGGCACGTGTCTCATTTCCGGCAGGCAGGTGGCGCAGGTGCTGCAACCATTTTCAAAGCCTCCTGAAGGCACGGGAAGGGCAGATGCTGAGCGAGCAAACGCACAGATGTCGAGGCCTGCTGCATGCAGCCCTACGTCACTTGAGGACTTGTCTGGCTGTGGCTGAAAAATTGGAGTCCCCAAAATAGCACCTTGGCAAATGGAAATAAAGACGAACACTTGCGTAACCTAGCTCTTTCATTTTGAGCCATACCCATCTGACCATTGCAGGACCCAGACCTCCAGCTATTCGCCGCGCGACCTGGCGCTCTTCTTAAATGGCCTGCAGTCCTGCGGCGTCCTCTCCACAAACAAGGCCGGGACGCTGAGCTTTCAGTTTGGGGCCGGGCATCGATCTGCACGAAGTCCCGAATCGAAGGCCTTGGCTGCAGATGTGTGGGATGTATCTCAAGAACGACTGCCACTGCGCGGAGGCGATTCATGCTTGATTCCATGGGGTTTAACTTGAACATGTGCACGGTGGACTCAATTTGGCTTCATCCCGACACATGGACGGAATCCACATGTTCGGATCTAAATCAGGACGAGCCAGTCTTTGTGGCGGTTGGTCGACCAGGGCACATGGTGAGTACGTCTTGTTTCCTCAGCTCCACGGAGCCGAGGTTCCGAAACTCTCGCCATCGCCAAGTCTCTGGTGCAGCTGCGGAGTGTGATCCCACTCGGAAAGCTGAGGCCAGGCTTTCGGATGAGCTTCAGTTCCGGCGTGTGGGCAAGCCAAAAGGTGTCGGAGTTTTATCAGCTTGGGTCAGGGTTGCAAAAACAGAATCCGAAAATTGAGGGTTGGTTTCCCCTTGGTTTGACTTAACACACGTGTAGAACCCGACAATCGGGGCTTGGTTTCCCCTTTTGACTTGACACATGTGTGTTCGGCATTCGGGTGAGGTATCGCTTCCGGGTGCTGAGCCATAGACTGCAGCAAGCCTTCGCAGCTGGGACGGTGCAGCTGCAGGAGCAGGCTGCCCCGCCCCGAAAATTCAAGCCTCTTTCGGGTGGCAAGATGGGCTTTTTCTTGGTGGTTGATGCATTTTCTGGATTCCTGATACTCCGATGTTCCCTGACATCACTCGAATTGGATTGGATTCCTTTTGGTTGGTGATGTTTAAGGAATATATAAGGAATCCAGTTGAAGTGATGGCAGTTTGGGCACCTGACAAAGTTTGACGACCGCAGCATATGGCTTGATTCGGTGCAGAGGGCCACACAAAGCCATGCGCGGCTTGGGCGCGGCACTTGGTTGTCGACAGGTGACCACGGGGGGCAACACCAAGTCTCAGTTGCATGGGCCAAGGCAGCGCCATTGCTAGCGCTTTCGCTCATGGTCCTGATCCCAGCACGCGTGCCGATGCTTCTGAGACATTCAAAGCAGTCTTTGGGAAGCGAGAAACTGGCTGCATGTATACCCTCGAGTCCACTAATTAACGTGGAACTCACCACAGGGTCCCTTATAGGGGAAACTAAACTGTCTGTTGGGACCCCTCAGTGAGGTTCCATGTTAGTGGATGGGAGGGTGAATGACTTAGTATGTGGTAGGCGATCCATGGGGTGGCTTGACAGCTGAGAAGCTTCTTTCCACAATGCCGTGTGCTCAGGTTTGGCCATGTGCGAGGGGGAAGGAAGCATGTGTGCTTTTGAAAGTGAGGCATCCCAAAATGCAGAAGCTTCTCAAAGCTATGCCAGATGTTCGGCGGGACTATGTCCGCGAGCTGGATACGGCGCTCGTGGAGAGTAGAACCTTGCCCTTGTGATAGGTGTGGTCGTGGTTGAACATGGACAGAGAAGGTGGCGTTCAACATACACTCGACGCAAGGACAGTCGAGCAATCCTGAAGACATCAAGATGCTGCGAGAGCAGATCGAAGGTGCTATCAAGGAGCAAGTGGTGGATGTGATTGTTGCAAACTTGTCGACCACTAAGCAGACGCGGCACTAGCTTGCAGTTTTTTCCAGGAGATGAATCATGAGCGGCTTGCTTGCATATGGCGATGAGCAGATCTTGCAAGGCCTTTCGACATCTTGTAATACCAAGGATTGGGGCAAACCCGCAGGCTCTGGACGATATCATCAAAGACACTGCGTCCAAGATGGCCTGCTGCCCTTTGATCGTGCCGGAGCCATTCGCAGCCCCACGCAGGCTAAGGGTCAATCCATGCAGACAGAAACGCGACCAAAAGTGTCCTGGTTAAGTCAGTTTGATTGAACATAGATGGGCCCTTGTTTCAGTTCGGCTCGAATCATTTAGCAGTGCCATCTATTTTTCCTAAAGGCCACCTGTGAACACGACTTGATGCTCCAACATCGGCTCACGTGGAGTTTGGCGCTTGTTGCAAGTGGCGTGATGCCTGACAGGCAACGCCTCAATGGATATTCCTTTTTGTGAGCTTGCCAAGAGCCGCGAGTGGCCTCATGGAGCACGAGTGCCGGCTTTGGACGGAGAACCTGTTCAGGCTCTTTCGGCCTGAGTGTAAATGCCTAAACCGTCGCGGGCGGGTCATTGACAAAGGACCGCTCGGAGAGCGACGGTCCGGATCCATGGCAAAGTTGGAAAAAAGATTCGCGCTCTGCGCGAAAAGCTGCAGACAGTTGTCCCAGCCGGCATGCTTTCAAGCTGCAAGTGCCTGCCATCAGGCGGAAGTGCTGCGATTGTGGGCTTTGCTGGGGCTTCGCGCCCGTACCCTAGTTCGCACCATACTATCATGTTCCTGGCTGCTTTGTGAGGATTGGCCTTTGCTTGCAGAACTGGCCCGGAATGCCTTGGAGGTGACATGAGAGAGCTATGACTCGTCGACTCGGTTTGGATTCCGGCAGGTGCTGTCCGCAAGCGCCTTGAGGGCACTAGCAGATGGCAAGCCCTTGCCGCTTCCAGCCGAGGACGCGTCTTTTTGGCGAGTTGGGTGTGGCTCAAAATTTTAAACAGGAGGGGTCACGCAGGTTTTGGTCCATGTTTCCACTTGCCAGGGTTCCATTTTGGTACCGGTTTTTTGAGCCACAGCCAGTTGCGGTTGCATTGCAGCGCATTGTGTTAAAGGATCTGTCGCAAGCCGTGTATGCGTATGCCAAGCTGGGCGCGCCGCAGCTTGTGCCCTGAACTGCTATATGCGTCTTGACTTGTGGGGGGTTCTCAAAATAGGGGACCCCTTTTAAGATGGGTTTACAGGGAAGCCAACAGGAAACCACCTACCTGGAGCTGGTCTCCAATCTTGAGAAAAAACCCACATGGTTTTGGCATTGGGGTAGCAGGTGCCTTCTGCTTATCGGCCGGCAGTTGCTGAGTTCTTCATCCAAGCCCTGAAGGCCACATGACAGCCTTCCAGTTGTAGGAGCAACGCCCAGGGCATGTCATAGCAGCATTGAAGACCTGCTGACAGCTTTCTGCCGCTAAAGAGTGGTATGCACACGCGTGAGACACGGAGTGAGGGGAGGTGGCCATGCGAGAAGTTGGAAGCACGTGCCAGGCGCTGCATTCTGCAAAATCAGTGCCCAGCCTTCCGGATCGAGCACTGCGGCAACTGATGCAGCCATCCCAGCGCAACAGAGGTAACAGGCGGCCACTTCCAGAGTAGATTTAGCATATTCTCCTCCTGAGTTTTTGAGAACACAAACACCTCTCCCAGGGTAGGTAGTCGCAGATAGCGCCGAATAATTCTCTGGGACAGAAGGATTTGCTTTTGACTGCTCAAATCATTTACGCTGCAAACAAGATGTAGCTTTGTGCACGTGTGCAAGGTTGGGAATTGCCTTTTGCGGACCGCTGGATGAAGAGGTGAGAGCCCGTGCTACCGGTGCTCAACATGTTCTTAAACGTGGTTGTGCACGCGAATCTTACCAGATGATGTCACGCCAGGCGCAGCTGCAGCGTGAGACTTAGTGCACACTTGTCAGACCTCTCTCAAGGCAGAACGAAATAACACGTGAGTCGGTGGGCGAGGAAAGAGCTACTGCAGGAAGGCCTTGAGAATTGGCTGCCGTGCCTTGCCTGCACTTGGGCCGATCGAGTGTTTTGCGACCCGGACTTGGTTCTGAAGATGGAGACCCAGGAAGCTCTTCCAGCAAACATCTCGTCTTGCTTTTGCGCTGTTTTCAAAGGACAAGATAGGTCAAACCGCATGTCCAATGAGCAAGTCCAATCTGTGTGGCCGGTGTGGGATGGTCACTTTTCGAACCAGGGATGAAGATTAACCGCGCCCTGCGTGTAGATCTTGTGGATTCTAGGGGCAAAGGACTGCACGAGTTGGTGAGTGTATGTGGGCTGCGTCATCGAGGTTGGGCAAGTGGAAGGAAGGCGGCCCTGCCCGTTTGGTCGCCCACTCAGTCAGTTGCATGTGGCCATGCTTGATGTTTGTGACAGAAACATATCAGCAGTTTATTGACCCCATTGGATGCGCTTGGGGTAAAGGCCAACAGCAAACATTGATGCGTAGAACTTGTGACAGAAGAAGTTCTGGAGCGAGTCTACAATGGTTGGATGTGTTGATCTGCTAAGGTTGCTTCCTGTGCCGCCACAGAATTTGGGTAATTTGGCAGCACTTCTTTTGCTGTTTCCATCAGCATTCGAGAAACATGGCGTCGGATTTCGAGAAGGGATGGACCATGGGCTCATTGCGCGTGTTCACCATATGGGTGTGTCTTGAAATAGGGGACCCTTTAAACATGGTCGGGTTCCCTTTTGTTTCCCTTTGAAAAGCAACCAAAACGGGACAGTTATCCGTGTAGCAGTGACCATCAAATGAACTATACCTGCTTTAATGAGTATCTTGGGAGTGATGTGCTACGAGGCTGAAGCCTGGCGATTTCTCAGCGGAGGCTGCTGAAGCCTTTGCCGCCCTTCTGCAGCCACGTGAGGCCAGCAGCCACTTTGCACAGCAATTTCACGGTTTGACCTTGCAGGATTGATCTAAAGTTTGGGGGGGTTGGTTGGGGGCTTTGGTTTGGGGGGGTTGGTTTGGGGGCGGTTGGTTTGGTTTGGGGGGGGGTTGGCTTGGGGGGTTGGTTTTGGGTCTAACATTGTTTGCTGCAGGCAGAGTCGCCAGAATTGAGATCATTGGAGCGCCAACTCCTTGAAGCGTTGGAAAGGTTTGTGGATGATTGGAAGTCGAAGAATCCATGGGCACTCCAAGCGGACGCATCGCATGGAACATCAGCACCCTGTGTGTCCATCAACCATCCGACTCCACCTTGCGAGATCCGCTTGGCGGTGCCGGCGTGGAAGGTGGCATTCCAAGTGGGGCATGCAGAGGACTTCTTCTCAGGCCCTCGCGAAGCCTGGGTGGACGGCCCAGGATGGGGTCAGCTCGCAGAAGAGGAGCTGGATCACGGGGCGCTCCTCGGCGACTTTGTATTTGAGGATGAGACCGGAGACAGCTTTGAAGCCAGCGAGGATGCAGCTCAGTGGCAGCGCCTGCCGGCACTCCAAATGCGTCTGCTAAAAGGACTTGGCTGGACCGTCGTGGAAGTGCCTTATGCTCAGTGGCGGACCCTTCTTGGATCCGAGGAACAAAGCTTCCTTGCTCGACATTTGAAGGAGACCTTGCCGAAAAAGAGGGTTGCGGAGCCTGGTGGGGCGTTGCGCTTTTGCTTCACTGGTTGGGGAGCTTAGCTTCAGCATCCTTTGCTTTGCAGAAATTGACTAAGAGTCCACATGTGTCCGCCATTCTCTAGCTACTCGTGCAGCAACTGCCGCACCAGGTAGTCTTTCATCTGAACCTGACCCTGCAAGCGCTTTCAGGAGTCTATTCATCTAGGTACGTGAAGGCAGTGCCGGGAAAAGACAATGCTGTAAGTCGGAACCCGAGCTGCAACTGCCGGCAATGGCTTTGCGCTTGTGCGGTTTGCATTGCCTTGGCAAGCCTTGGTGCCATGAAATTGCACTACAAGACTTGAGCTTGATATACAAGGTAGCATCAGCACTCCACATCGAATCCGTGAGCACGCGTCTCCCCTCACTCCCCGGAAGGTTGCATAGTATCATAGTGTCATAGAGAAATGCTGGTGGCTGCAAGAGCGCTCGCCAATTCTTGATTGTCCCGCTAGTGTTACCAACGATAAGTTAACGATAAGCCTGTTGGTAAGCAAGTGGGGCCAGATAGGCCAGGGGTTGGGCTTCTGGCAACTTTCTCATTGCCATCCATAGTGCTCGAGCGATAGCAAGCTCGATTTGCGAGACATAGGCTTTTGCGCCACTAGTACTGGACGCTTCGTGAAATGAATTGCCTCAGTACTTGGTGCATGTCGGACAATGAGTGAAACAAGACTAAGTGCAACAACTGCAGTGAAGATGCAATACGAGGCCCCGAGCAATGAGCGAGTCAGCTTGTGTTTTGAGACATTCGCAGCGGCACAGCAAGTACTGAGCACGTCAAACGAGGGCTGCGATGGAGCTTGTACTTGCTTGTTCTTGCAGACCCACATGCAAAGGGCAACATTGGAGGACCTGGTCGTTGAACATTTCCAGGAGCTTGCCATCAACCACCTTTCAGTAGTTATCCAGCACAATCATTGATCGTTTTGCGTATGTCAGGCCAACCTTGTCACTCTCTGTTCGAACACGTGAATTAGAAGGCATGGCAAAGATGCCCTAGCTGAATCGCCCGCAGCCCTTTGGCTGGATATCGGATGATGTTTCTCAGCGCCCTTCATGCATGGGTCGCCCAGCACACCCGCACGCCGGGTGTCAACTTGTACTGCCCGAAATTTGCAGTTGGGCAAAGTCTCCTCCCAGAGTTTGAGCAACAAGACTCTGAAGGCATTTCTGTTCCCATGTCCTTTTGTTTGTTGGCGTTGCTAGAGCCGTTGGCCTAAAGCGTATTCCATCCAGGCGGTCGCGTAATACCTCACACCTGATCGCCTTGGCAATCCTTGCAGACTTGAACCGAGGGAGGGCGCTTTTGAAGAAACAACATGGTTCTGAATCAAAACCTAAGGTGCTTTGTTGGGGATGGTTACTCCGCTGTTGTCTTTTTAGAAGGCTTTCTGGGTGTTCAGCGAGGAACCGGGGTTTTGACCCATAGCCACAATTTTCGCCAGCGCTTGCAGCCATGGCGGGGCGTGCCCGCAATTGGCAGCAGGGGCCTTGTACCACATTCTGACAGCAAACACGTCAGAAAAAGAAACTGTCGCGCATCGTGGGGCAAGGCAGCTGACCTTCCCGCAGAAGCTTGTGTACACGGCTTGGGCCCTGTTTTTACCGCATGAACAACGTTTGAAGCGTGAGAGACGTGCCAGAGCGCCGTGCTCAACTTTGCCGTGCTGAGCTTCGTATGGGTAAAGCGGCAAATGAGGAGACCGCGAAAACGGGCAGAGGGAAGCTGCGTGTTTGTGTCTGTGGTTTAGTTAAGAGGGAAGCAGAGGAAAGGCGCCTGGCATGTTTGGTCCCGGTCAGGATGGCAGACAAGGAGCAGAAGGAAGTTGAAGAGCTACAGGCCCGTTCTTTGGCAAGTTGCGTCTTTTGCTGGACTATAGCCTTGCGAAGTTGTGGGTCAGTGAGGCCACCATGGCGGAAGTGTCAGCCGACAACTGGAGCGCCAACAGCCGGTTCAGGCCACCTGCTTGTTTGCCCGAGTGTCAACGTGTGTTCAATCTTGTCTCGAAGCCAAGATAAAACAAGGGACCTTGACCGGAAAATCGCATCATTCTCCGTGAGGTGCTTTTTTGCGGCTCAGCAGTACTACATGCTCAACTCAGCTGGTCCAGAGGAGGATCGCGAAGAGCAGGCATGTGGTGGACTCATGCATCCTCTCTCCGAGGAGACAGCCCCAGAAGCGAAGAAGATGCTGGACGTGTTGGCTCAATGCCGCGAGGCCCCGCGCGAGCTCAGAGCTTCGTCTGTGGAGTTTGCCAGCTGCACAGGACCTTTATTGGAAGATCCCGAAGGACGCTCTTTGGGCTGTGGCTCAAACATGGGTACCCAACATGGGGAGCCCTGGTAAATGGAATATTGCTACAACCGCGCAACCCTAGCTCTTAAGGATTTTGAGCCACACCCATGTAGGATGCTTGCCTTTTTGCCTTTTTGTTGCGCTTCGCAAGGAGACCCCCGCCTCCCGACCGGTTCAATCAACTGCTCCGCAGAAGTGAGGCTAGGCAGCGGGCTTGTATCACTGTCATGTGTGCCTGAGTTTTCAGCATGCGTGCCGTATAGTGCAGACCGTGTGAAAGGCAGTTCGCCAGTAGGAGACCTACATCGAAGGTCTGACCTACAGGAGTTGTCTGCACTGAAAATCTTCCGTGTGTTGGGGGGTGAGCTGCACGCTTGTGCAAGCAGACAGATTTCCGCCGCAGCTGTTGTGGCTGGGTCATGCCTGGAGTTTGAGATGTCAAGTCTGAACCTCAGTCGCCGTGCACATCTTGCGCAACACGGTGGGATCGCGAGGCTTCTCTCCCAATGCGTGCGCCGCTTTCCAGAGCCAGACCTGATCTTAGAGTCTTCCCCATGCACCAGCTGAGCCAAGGGATGACAGGGCTCGAAAAGCCACTGCAAGACCATTTCAAAACCACCTCAAAACCTCTAAACCAAAACAACACCGACACATACGAGACGAATGGGCTTGGTTGACGCGGCCTGCGCCGGCTCGGTTTCATCTCGTTGTTTCCTCCCCATACTCCCTTGTAGGCAGACATTGCCCATCTAATGATCTAAGGCTTATTATATTACTCCAGCTTTATCTGAGCCACATTCAAAATCCGGGTAAGCGAAGGTTAAGGGACGCTCCTGGCAACTCTTTGCATGATTTTGAGTTCCCCAATTGTGTACCAGGTTTTGACTATGACTCATCTTACTCATTTGATCATCCAATCATCTGATGGTCTAAGGTTTTGATTATGATCTTGTCTCGTCTGAGTATCTGTTGTCTCATCTGGGTATGGGTCAAAATTAAACCACCAGGCAGCTGTAGGTTTTCGTCCATCTTTCAACTTGCCATGGTAACCCATTTTGGTTTTGACCCGTTTTTCAACCCCATTTAGGCCCTCTGAGTGTCTACAGCTTCTGTGGTTGGGGTTTCCAGACGCGCGCGTTTCGCGGCTGAGGTCGCCACCTTCAGTGAGCCCGATCCGAAGGGCACTGCGGTCGCCCAGTCTGGAGCTCTGGAGCCCTCGGCAATGCTGCGGGAGTTTCTCTCAAGCTGGGTCTGTTCGGTTTGGTTTTCCTTGCGTTTTTTCCTTTTGAGAGGGAAACATCCTTGCCCCCCGCCCCATGTTCTGGTTGGTTTTCCTTTGGGTTTTTGTTTTGGGTTCCTGTTGGTGTTCCTTTCCGTTCCTTTAAAGCCACAAAACAAGTGGTACCGTCAAACAAAGACGCCCCGGTATTTTAAGTGAGAAGTATCCATGCTGCACGCTAATCCAACTGCTTCCTTGCAAGGCCAAGAAGACACTGATGGCCCGTTTGCGGAAGCTTCAGGCACCTTTGAAGGAGGGTGATGACAACGTGGGAAGTAAGAGTCAGTGTTTTTGAGCCTGCTACCGCTACTCGGAGGGCCTGACGAAATTCGTGTCATTAAATCATTGGCGAGCAATGCGATGATATATACATATATATATATGTATCATGCCATTTATGGAATCATTGTGTAATTGTCCCAGGTCTAGGTGCTCGGCCGGGTAGGGTGCTGTTGCCGGTCTGTTGCAAGTTGTGTTGTAGGGTGCTGTTGGAGTGGAGGGTGTTGTGCTAGCATTCATGCCAAGCGTTTGCTGTTTTGATACCGAATACAATTCCTATTTGGGTTTGTGCTGTTCAGCCGGAGATGTCTTTAGTGGCACTTTGGTTCGAGCGTTCAAAGAGAGAGTATATGACATGCTCGACTGAACTTACTTTGCTCCAGGGGCTGTGGCTGGAGTACAAGTTCTGCAGAAATCGGGAGATATGACAGCAAGTGAAGATGAAAGTGAGGACAGGCAGAAGGGTTGTCACTCCCCAAAGGAAACAGCGAGCAAAAGACAATGTCGATGATCAGCACTCAGTCACTTCCGGGGTCTATGAACGACGTTTGATGTTCCGGCAGGATCAAGATGTTGAGATGGCTGTACTTGAGACGCTCGGACCACAGAATTGAGATGAATGCATCAGCTGACATGAAGCAGCAAACATACTGAACACACTTAGGACAGAACCAGGGCCATCTGGGGCTGACGACGATGAGCGTGGTGCTTAGAATTGCGCAGACTACAGGGGAGCGTTTGAGCATAGGTCCGAAGAGGAAGAGGAGGAAGAGGAGGAAGGGGAGGAAGGGGAGGAAGGGGAGGAAGGGGAGGAGCGGGAGGAAGGGGAGGAAGGGGAGGAACGGGAAGGGCAAGAGGAGCAAGAGGATGGACAAGAGGAGCAAGAGGATGAACAAGAGGATGAACAAGAGGAGGAACAAGAAGAAGAGCAAGAGGAGGAGCAAGAGCAGGAGCAAGAGGAGCAGAAAGAAGATACAGTGGTGGAGTTCCAAGACAGGTCAGAGGAGGTGGGTGCTGGTTGAAAGTGCAAAATCAGCAGTAAGCAGACTCGAGCACTCACAGGCAGACGGAGAGGCAGAACAGCCTCAGGTTGTGGTGGCGGAGATGGGTGTTGCTCTGGCCTTAGACACTGCCCGGAGATCCTCTCATCAGTTGCTCCGAGGCCGAGCAGTGGAGCGGCATGCTTCCCCCAGAGGCAACTGCTCCCTGGGAAGTCTGCGACGAGGAACCTCGGCGAATGAGCTGAATCCGTTGATTTTTGTTTGGTTTGTTTGGTTGCCGAGGTGTGCTCCCTTTCATGCGCCGGCGCGGAATTGAAGCTTCCTCGTCCGGTGTACGACCGGCTCTACAAGTACCAACGACAGGGTGCAGTATGGATGTGGAATTTGTACCAGAGAGGTGCATGGGTTGAAGCCAAGTCTTATCAATAGCTTGTGATATGGGGGCTCTCTTTTTTGAGGGCACCCCTCCTTGAGTGTCTTTTTGTTCAATCCAAACACCATTTTGGAGGGTCGCCTGAAAAAGGAGGGGTATTTATTTTAGGATGTTTTTTCGTTTTTTTTTGGATAGTTTTTCGCTTTTGGCTTTTTGGCTTCTTGGCTTTTTGGCTTCTTGGCTTCTTGGCTTCTTGGCTTCTTGGCTTCTTGGCTTCTTGGCTTCTCGGCTTCTTGGCTTTTCGGCTTCTTGTTGGTTTATGCGGCTTTGCTTTTTGGCTTTGGCTTTTCGCATCCTCTGCATTGCCAGTTCCTCTTCGGCTTTTCGCTGGTTTATGCGGCTTTTGCTTTCCCAGTTCCTCTCCGGGCGTCCTTTCATTGGTTTTTTGGATTTGGCTTCCCGCATCATCAGCATCACCAGTGTTCTCCCCATTTGAATCATCACTTCTTCCCCCCCACCCACCTGCTACTTTTTAGATTGTTTGCAGAGGTAGTTGCACCCCTATTTGAATCAACACTTCTTCAAACATCATGGTGGGGGCTGCCGCTTCCCCCCCCAACCCCCCCGCTACTTTTTAGATTTCTTGCAG